CTGTCCAGTGGTTTTCTCGTGATGCGGTAACAGACAGACAGACAGACAGACAAAAATTCTAAAAACTATAGATTCGGACTCTGTATCGATAATAATGTCTATTTCAATTAGATTTTCCAAAAAATATTTAATGTACAGATTCGACTTAGTCACAATTTTATTATATGTATAGATCAAAGCGTAATCGACGTTCCAGAGCCCATACTTGACATACGTTCCCGACAACTACCCAGTTAACTATGATAATAAATAATATAATAAAGTATCTTTGGAGAGGTCTGTTAATACTTTCTAACCGACAAAAACGTGTGGCCTTCTTTATTTGAATTATATGAAAACTAAATTAAAAGATTTAACAAAAATCAAGTTGCCAAAAATATGTTTTTTTCCAAAATTCGTCGCCAACTCTCGGGCTATGACAAGATGACCAAATCAAAGAAGTGAACAATCAACTAAACTTTTACGAACTCAATTTACACAGCACGAAATTCAATAGTTAATTACTTAATTTTTGTTCTGATCAACCCTTGAGAAATCGGGTGTAAGTTATATATTTTGAAATATTTAACTTTAAGCCGTTAGAATTCTAGCAACAAAGTTCGAACGACCAAACAATGGCAACACTATATAAAGCATATGCATGACGACCTCATGACGGCGCGGTCATAGAAGGTCAATAATGATTGAGGTTGAACTTGACATGATTCCAATAATTCATTATATGCGCGTTTAAGTGATTTAAAAACACAAAGATTTTATTTACATGTTAAAAATTTACTTTGACGACACATTTGGCTCAGTTCGTAGTGACCCTACTTGCTGTGCCAGCGGTTGCGGGTTTGAGTCCCGTTGGCGGCATTCATTTGTGTGATGATCACGAATGTTTGTACTCCAGTCATGGGTGTTAATATTTATAATATATATGTATTTAAAGTTATATATGTGTAGTGTATCAACTATCTGGTATCCATAACACAAGCCTTGTAGCTTACCGTGGAACTAGATGGTGCTGTGTGTTAATATCTCAAGATATTTAACGATTTATATATTTATTTAACAATGTACAAATACGAATTATCAGAACAAGGGCTTTACATTAAACTAAACACTATTACAAGTAGGTACACTCAACACAATGTGAGTATATAAAAATAAAAACGTGGGCGACCGAATACGTTTGGCGTTTTTCGGAAAAAATATAAAAATTGTGGTTTTTTTTTCAATAAACAGTTATACAGATAACCTTAATACCTCCAGGTAAATTTCTAAGAAATAAATGAAATTACTAAGAAATCTATAATAAAGCAAAACCTTATCTAAATACATATTCAAAACATAAGAGCCGTTTCCGAGATACACGAAATAAATTTATGTAAGTACACTAACGACTCACCCTCTCTCCGCTTGGGTTCGTCCACGTTTTAAGATTAGTATAGATTTCTCAGAAATTAGATATTTTAACAGTAAAAAGTATCTATTCTATATTTTGACCAGCTATCATCATACCACATCGAAATCTGCCCAGTGGTCTTCTCGTGATTCGTTGCCAGACAAACAGTCTGACAAAAATTCTAAAAACTATAGATTCGGCCTCTGTATCGATAATAATGACTATTTCAATAAGATTTTCTACAAAAATATTTAATGTACAAATTTCACTCAGAATTTTATTATAAGAATAGATATAGATGTAGAAGAATAGCTCATTTAATATTATAAAATAAACAGACTTTCTATCCGCCTTCCTACCGAATATTGTCGGACGAATTTTACCTCAACTGACCTGGCCTAGTAGTGAAATGTAAAAAGTAATAAATAAAGTATATCGATAAGTTATAAATTACATAATAAAGATATACAAAGATAACTTTAAACCGAAACTATTATTATCGTGGCATTTGCAACAAATTATTTTGTATGTAATTTGCTTCATAAGATCTTTAACTTTTACATTTTTTTTATCACTCTTCACCACAGGCCCATTAGCTCAGTTGGTTAGAGCGTCGTGCTAATAACGCGAAGGTCGCGGGTTCGATCCCCTCATGGGCCAATTCTTATTTTTATAATTAGGTGAGAAAGTCTCAAATTAATGCGAGTAGGGTTATAGGCTATATACCATATAGGTTACTACTATTACTTTTTATCTTAAGAATAAAAATGATATATAAAAATAACATTACATGGGGTTTCTTCGCGATTATTATTTATCACATATTAATTATAATTTAAACACATATACCTAATACATAACATAAGATTATTCGTTTTTTGGTTTATGACCTAAAAGTCTAGAAAAAATAGACTTTTAGTTCATATTTTAAAATATATAAAATCTACAACTAACTGTCAGTGAAGTAGTAAAGAATTCAATAAAATATGTACGTATGGAATGTTGTATGATACATAATACATAAACGAGGATAGTAATATTGTTACGAGTAGAAGGCTGAATTACCAGTTATCATTGCCATACATATTTAACAAAGCAAATACATGCTTTTAGATATTTGCTCTCACAATATCGATATGAAGATATTTATTTGGTCAATGATAAATTTTCCAATAGTCCCTAGGTTGATTCCCCATAAAAACTCTCATCCCCATTTTCACCCCCGTATCGGATGATTTCCGGGAAAAAAGTATCCTATGTCCTTTCTAGGGTCTCAAATTATCGTCTTACCAAATTTCATCTAAATCGGTTCAGTAGATCCAGAGATTATTCTCTACAACGTCACAAACTCACAAACTTTACCTCTTTATAATATTAGTATAGAAGTATAGATGTATTAGTTACTAGTTAGATTGTTGCTCAAATTTTTTTTAGATAATAATATTTTTAATAGTATGTAGGCATATTTTATTTTTATAAAAAAAAACAAACTTGTATTTTTCTATAATCACTATTTTTCACTTTTCAAATGCTTGAGCCTTAAATTTTGAAACGATTTTATTTTAAAATGTAATATTTTGAGCTTTTTGGAATCAAGTACGACCGAATGATGCATTTCAAAACTTTTCTAAGAAAACTTCGTTAGGAATGCATAATTACGATATTTTGATTTCATTTTTCTAAAGCTGTAGCACATATGATATTTTGCTTTGAGTCCAAAAGCTTCCAAACACTTCTCAAAAGCGAGCAAACCTGGAAGTATTAGGTATTCTTAGTTGGAATTTATCACACCAGTTCATGGGAACATTCATCGAATGATAAATTTAGAAGATTTTCTAAGGAATTTAAAATATTTTCCACGTATACTATAGATAGTTGAAACCTTGAGATTATATTTGCTAAGCCGTTTCCAACGCCACATTCTTCCTAGTCCTTGGTTTGCTTCAAGGATAAAAGCATTCACCTTCAATGATAATTGAAACCATAACCTTCAACTTATTAGTTTAAGCTTCTTATACACCTAGTTCTAAGTAACGCTGTCTATGGACATGTTTTATCCCTTGGGAGCAATTTAGTGTAGTGGGATAAAAGTAGTGCTAGCTTATATCACACTCCAGTCTGAGCTCTATAAACATTTTTTATGCAATAGGTAATCATATCGACCCGTTGCTTCTGCGAAAAAGAAGGTCCAACAAATAAACAAATTTTATAATAAAAAATCGGTCAAGTGCGAGTCGAATTCGCTCACGAAAGGTTCCGTACCATCGTAGATGTGTTTTTTATTAATATGACTTTTATTCTATGTAGGTATGTAATATATTAACTTCGATGATTGATTACGAACATTAAAAAATTAATGTTTCTTGTATTTTTTTATGTTTATTTACCTTTATTATCTGTTGTTATAGCTGCAATAGAAATACATACTCTGTGAAAATTTCTACTCTATCTATAATGGTTCATGAGTTACAGCCCTCTAACAGACGGACGGACGAACAGCGGTGGCAGATTAATAGGGTTCCGTTGGTACCAAACGGGTACGAAACCCTAAAAAGGGACGACAGTTTAAAAAACAAATATGTATAATGTTAACACATAATTATCTGAGTTCCTGTTATTGGAAAAGCATTAAAAATGGATATCTTAAATTATATAGTAATTATGTATTGTCATACATGTGATAGTGATTATTTTAGTGATAGACTTATAATTAAAACTGGCATATGAAAGAACTTTTTACAAGCCATATCATAATAGTTATTAGATATAATTATTATAAAGAGACCAATTATATTTGGTCTCTTATTAAACTACCGACAATTATACGTTTTATGTATGATAATAAAGTTCCATGAAGTTCTTCGAAACGTCAAATATGTTTGTAACGAGTGATGATTCAGTAAAATCGATTTATACACATTATTAATGATAAATTGATAGTTTTTAATACAATTCAAGCTAAATTTACAAATTTATAGACAATCTGTGATTTTCATTGATTGGTCTGATTGTCTTCATAAATGTTTGGTTTATAAGTTGAAGGAATAGTAAATGTGACATTTGAGGAAAAACAATGTGTCGATTTGTTTGGTGGAAGTAAATTTTCGTTGGGCACAAGAAACATTTCAGTTATTACAAAATACGTTGTATACCACCATTTGGTACCATCTGGCTCGTCTGTACCATCTGGATGAATGCGGAGGTTTTTTAAGGTTTAAATCTAATGAGTAAATAAAACTTGGTTTCTCTACATTTTGGTTAGACCAAGGGCCAATAAGACAAAATCTCATCTCTATTTTATTTAAAAAAAATCTTTTTAAATTTTATAAACAATAGTACTTATAAAAAATTGTGTAATCCTATTGTGTAATTCTTTCAAAAAAATATTTGCATGATAATGAAAATTTGGTATAGCATTAACTTATACTAATGTGTTGAAATTGTCCTGGGAAAACAAATATGTCAAGAATTCTTAGTAAAAACTTATTGTTTTTTTTTTAAATAAAATTATTATTAATATATTTTCAATACAATTCTTCATTACGGCTTCAAAACCTAAATAAAGCGTTTCAGAGAAATAAACAAATATAATTAACAGTTACTGTTGCAAATGCGAAAGTTTGTAAGTTTGCATTAAAAGACAAAGACTACATAGTATAAAACAACCCTTCCCGCTGTCTGTCTGTTCCTATGTATGCTTAGATCTTTAAAACTACGCAAAGGATTTTGATGCGGGTTTTTTAATCGATGGAGTGAATCAAGAGGAAAGTTTTAGTATATAATTTATTCAGTTTTAGTATATATTGGCTAAAATATAACGATATTTGTTGGAGGTGTCGGAAAAAATAAGCCGTCTGGGAGCTTTCAACGAAAATGTTGCCTAAACCCTTTGAGTATAACAAAATAAAGTATGGTGGAATTGTGTATCTTATATAGGTCTACAGAAAAGTCCGCGATGGCATATGTCTATCTCTTAAGGATAACATACTATATCCATTATAATTTAAAACGTACCACTATCGCTAGTAGGTGTATAAAGATTTTTTTTGTATCAAGCGCGAAAAGTACCTAGAGACGTCCGTGCGAAGTAAAAGAAAGTTAATAGCTTAGTAATATTTTATTTGGTAATAAGAAAAAATGGAATAAACACAGATTGCTACTTATAGTTTTTCGAGGACGTGCGACTGGACAGGTGCGGGGTAGGTTGAAGTGAAATTTTAATGTTGACACGAATATCGGTATAATTTATTATGGATAAGTTTATTTCATTTTACACGTGCGCTGGAGGCGTGGTCCGGGACCTGCATTAAGGTCTACTACTTTATAATTCAATAAACAACCCGTCTTCATTCTTCATCGCTAACGTCTCAATGATTTTTTGATTCAAATCGCTGTGGAAATGTAAATATATGAATTTTGCTGTTTGCATTTATTTCTTTGACGTCTTCTTCTTTTAATATGAGGAGTATCAGGTCGTAGTCCATTATAGTATATTTTGTTCATCCATACTAATATCATAAATGTGAAAGTTTGTGAGGATGGTTCTTTTTATCCCGGAAAAATGTACGTTTCCCGTGGGATAGATATGTTTTTGTTTTTTAGAGGTGAACCCAAGCGTAGCGTGGGATAGTCGCTAGTATTGCATATGAAATGGTTAGAAATGTCATTTAAATTCTTCAGATAGTCAGATGAACTTTTAAAAATTCGAACTACTATTTCCGAACTTACAAATACATTATTTTTCCTTTGTTCTGCTCTAAAAACCCAAATGTAAGGTAAATAGAATTTTTGATCATTCAGAAATCTAATATCTGCTACTTCAATTTTCATAAGTTGTTTCATGAAAATATAAAGTACGGTCGAAACTCTACTGCGTCTACCTTTTATTTCAATATAATAAAAACTTTCATAACCTATAAATAAGGTTTATTTTTATTTGTATAGTTATATAAGGTAACCTCACCTTAACATTTTCTTCATAATATAGCTTTACGTCACTTATACCTATATCTACAAATTCAAAAGTTAAAAACTTCTATTGCAGGTGTTAGGTTTCAAAAAGTTGATAAAAAAATTTTTTTTTTAATTTACAGGTAAACGGAGAAAGGAATCCTGAAGAAGTATACAAAGATTTCCGAGCTGCTGTTCTTCAAATACTTGGTGCAGTTGAAGATCAAAGTATGAACGGAGTTGGTGCTGGGGCCCGCGGTAAGTACCTACTGTGTACATCGACTTGTTAATAAAAAGCCCTCATAATGGTCTTACCGGATAAGTCTTATAGTACAAAATTCTCAAAGAGTATACTATGATGGGTGGGAAAAAATGTTTTCTTGAGAAAACAATCGACAAAAAACGCGAATATACGCGAATATTTTACATTTAAATTAAACTATATTTTATTTAAAATGCGTAGGAGATATTTTGGTTAGGAAGAGACATAAACGCACTCTCTATTCCCGTCCCTCTCATACACCGGTGAAACGACAACCTTTTTTTTTTATAGTTGGGAAATCCTATTACGGATACCACCCGACTTCCCCCGGGGTGGTTATGTGGAGACTCTCCGGCTAATGAGACCGGCATACCCACTAAAACCCAACTTCCCCCCCTGCCGCCATGTGGGACGCCACGGGATCGCTCTCGCATACAACCGCGACGACCCGACGGTTGGCCGAAGCCACCAACCATGAGGCCGCCCCAAGCGGGACAACCCCATTATGGGAAGACTCTCAACCCAAAAAAGTGAGGCCGCTCCTAAGTCCACTCTGCTGATCAGAGAAGTACCCGGAGCAGCCCCACACCACACAAACACCGCCCACCGAAGTGGGCAACCTGCAAAAAATAACAAACCCCACCCAAATTGGGCAAACCCCCCAAAGACACTCGCGAATGAGCGTGAAACGACAACCTACCACAATTACCACTATTTATATGATTTATAAGTTGGAATTAAATCGTAGATTACGTCACTAGATAATTAATATACGAATACCACATAAAAACAGATTTAGAAAAAAAACATTAAATTGGGTTATATTTGAAAAATTCATATTTTTAGGTAGCAAGTAAATGGTTAAAAGAATAAATATTCAAAGCAAATTGGAGATAGTATTACATATAAAATAACTTTCAGATATACCAGGTGAAATAGTTGGCGTCGAACCTGCACCTGCAAGAATTCATGAAAATGATCCGTTACAAGCTCAGGATTTGGAGATTGAAGACGATGTACCGACTATGCAACCTGCTCCTGTAACTGTTCCAGTGTTGCCGCCCTCCGTCCCAGTGATGCCAGCCGCTCCGAAAGTTGTGCCAGTAAATGGAGTTGATAGGATTCTTAGCCCTAGGGTAAAAAAAATAATTACATAGCATAAATCAAAGTCATCCTCATGCAACGCTGAGTTTATGGTTATTTGGTCCAATTTCAGAAACTATTGTAGGGATTTTCATAATTTCCACTTATACGAAGTGATAATTTATAAATATATGAACAATGAAACAGAAGAACTTACGTAATATTATAAATCCGAAGAACAGCTAGGAAAGGGAGTCAAGCAAGGGCGTATTTACTAGATTTTTTTTTACCATTTTTTGATTAAGTGGTTAATTTAATATATTTTTATGTTATAAATAGCCTGAACTGATACGAGTACAAGGAGTGCCTACGACGCCACCAACGCTGTGGATTGTAGGGGGCCCTGGCAGTAACAAAGCTGCGCTATGCGAAAGAGCTGTGTCGCAGAAACAGGGATGGACGCATTTCAGGTTTGTTAAAAATTATATTATCATTAAAATTAAAGAATAAGAACCTTTTTTTCCAAGGATGACAATATTTTATTTATTAGTAAAGTTTATTTTGATAAATATCTTGACTATAAGATGAGTAAATAAAGTAAAAGAAGTAATAAAATAATTATAAAGTTATATGAATAATGTTATTACAGCGTCGGTCAACGTCTCCGAGCATTAGCAGATGCAGGTGGAGGTCTAGCGTCAGATAGTTCAATATGTCGCGCAGCTCTAAGTGCAGGAGAATTAGTCCCTAAAGACTTAGTCACCAAACTAGTAAATGCTGCAGTCAATGACGTGGCTCGAAGTGGGCATGGCATTGTATTGGATGGATATCCAAGAAATCTTGAGCAGATGGAATTATATGAAAAAGAAGTGAGTTATGTACTAAAAACAAATCAAAAATTATTCTTTAAAATGCGTGGCAAGATATTAAATGAATAATAACTTGCTAGCTTATCTCCACTTCAAGACAAGTGTTTATATCTACGACAAATTAATTGTAAATGTCAGCATTGCTTAAAGATCTTTGTATATGTAATACGTCATATAAATGTTTACGTATATAACTTTTAATATATCTTTCCTTCTTATAGTTCAAAGTTACTCCTCGAATGGTACTCCTGGACTGTTCAAAGCTACAACTCGGTCGTGGCAGAAGAGATGACTCTGTAGCTGCTTTTAGAAGACGTCTCGAAGTATTCCGAGAGCTGAGTTTACCGATGTTAAAAAGTTTGGATCAACAACATCGACTAATTATTGTAAGTATTCATTTACAGAACAATAGCATTGCCCGCGGCTCCGCTCGCGTTCAGATGACCAAAAACCAAATTCTTAAGTTTTACATATAAGTATACTCTTACAATGCAGTTTTTGTATTTTTTCTCAGAAATGAGATATTTTCCCGCGGTAAAAAGTATCCTAAGTATATGTTGACCGGGATAACCAGATATACCATACAAATTTCGTCAAAAGCCCTCCAGTGGTTTTTCCTGGACGCGGTAACAGACAAGACAGACAGACATACAGAAAGAAAAAAAATCTAAAAACGATAGATTCGGCCTCTGTATCGATAATAATGTTTATTTCAATAAGATTTTCCAAAAAATATCTAATGTATGATTCGGCTCAGTTACAATTTAATTATATATATATATTATAAAAAACGCTGTAATAGTTTTGTTATATTTTTTTAAAAAGAAGAAATATCATAGCTTAGGTATTTATTATAAAGGCTAATAAAACGATAACTGCGCGTGTAAAATCCAAATGTATTTATTTTACCAGGTTTATCTATATTATAATAATTAAAGAAAATAATTCTTGTGATGATAACTTTTTGTCAGGTTTAAAAAATTCTAATCAGCGTTAAAAAATACTTATGTTACTTAGCAACTAATCATTCTACGGAAATAAGATTGCTGGTCTTAGCTTTGAATATCGCGCGGATTTTTCCTTATGTTTTAATTATTATTTTATCATTATTTAATAAAATTCCAAATTACCAGGTGGACGGTGACACGGACTCTTCAGACGTGCAAGCTGAATTTACACGAGTATTGCTTGAGGAAATGGAGAAGGCTGAAGCAATCGCGTCCATGCCACAACCGGTACAAAACGGTACTATTAAAGGTATGAATAAAAAAAAATACATTTACCCTTTTTTTGAAAACATTTAGGATATATATGTATATACTCTATAGATATATAGTATAATTGTATTATAATTTCTTAGGATCCTTGGAAACTGTCGAATTTTGCTAAACCATCAATCAGTTGGTCTGCCAAATAGAATTTGGTTCAAATCGAATCAATTTTGATCAAATTTTACACCTATGATATTAATCAAAATATGAAGATTTTAATTAGTTTACAAAAAAATAGTTTAGGTAGATTTTCACACTTATATTTGTACATTTCTTTATCTAATTCTACAAATGCTTTTATCAAAGCTTACTTGTCAGTGGTAAAGCGCTCGCTTGGGAAACTGAGTGAAGTAGCTTAAAATCCTGGGTCTCATCATCGTCATTTCTAATATGATTAACACTTGTCTTACGGTGAAGGAAAACAGCGTTAAGAAACCTGCGTGTCTGAGAGACTTTAGTAAATTTTCGAAAGACATGTGAAGTCCGCCAACCAGCACTTGGCCAGTGTGGTGAACTATGGCCTGATTCCCCTCGTACTGAAGGGAGGCCCACGCCCAGCAATGGGACGTTAAAAAGGGCCGAATACTATTTTTTTATATGTGCAATAAAGTATGTATCTATCTATTTATGTTTTATAATTGATAATTTATTTATGTTGTATATTACAGATGGTACAGTACAACATTTTGCACATGCAGTGTCGAGAATTGGCGCGGGCATCGCCAACGGCGTGATTCGGAACGGGACGGTTCAAAATGGAACTTTACCCAACGGGACTATCAGCAATGGATTTATTGGCATGCCCAATAACAAAGTATGTTATATTAATATACTATAAAAGTTGATTTCTCAATCATCAGATGAAAGTTATTTATCGAAAAAATATAACTTTACTGTATACTATATGTGACACAATTGAACTATTGTGAACAAAACGGATGGATGGTTTGCTATAATTCAGGATATTTTTTATCATAAAAAAAAACGTGGCCCATGAGGGGATCGAACCCGCGACCTTCGCGTTATTAGCACGACGCTCTAACCAACTGAGCTAATGGGCCTGATAAGTAAGAATTTAAAAATGGGAATCTTTCTAAAACAGTCATTTAAGTACTATGATAAACATTAAATACTTTCCAATAAATAATCTAAGATTAGAAGAAGAAGAAACAAAAAAATAAAAGAAGTATGTATTACTACATATTATGTATTTATTTCAATTAAAGCTATTGAAAATTAGACCTAAAATATATTAGTGCGACAAACACGAAACTATGAAAACCACTTTTTTTGAACACATTCTCTATTTACGAGCAAGAAATTTAACCACAAAAATACATTTTATAATATATTATATTATGATATAATATAGTAATATTAAATATTGTATTTAGTAATTTGTTTTACCTTTATAATGACTGATAATCAGATGACAAAATCTTATCAAAATGAAATGGCCCATGAGGGGATCGAACCCGCGACCTTCGCGTTATTAGCACGACGCTCTAACCAACTGAGCTAATGGGCCTGTCATACAATGCTTTCCAAAGAAATCATATCTTTGTTGAGTGTGTATAGTGTCACTTCTTTAATGATTATTGTGCAATAAAAGAAATTGATAAGAATTAGATAATAATTTACAAAAATAAGTAAACGCGACCATAAAAGTTTATAGCGTTACGCAGTCGGACACATACATACACGTAGCAAGACTCGCAGCTAGTATAAAATATGTATGTATGTGTACATGTATATAATTTTTTTATTTACAGCTTTTTAGTTTTGTCTAGTTAGACATTTTTAGTTTTATTTAACAATTTCTTATCCTACATTATTTTTAAATATTAAATTTGTATATATTTTTGTAAGTGTCTCATGAAAATCTATATTTTGATACTCGATAGATTTAGACGAAAAAGATTTTTTCAAGGCACAGAAATTGTTGCTTTAGATTCGTCATTTTGATTGTTAATGATATCTATATACCTTACCTATGACACTCGCGTCATTAAGACGAATCTAACAATTTATGTCCCATCAAAATCGGTCAATCCGTTTAGTAATTCCGAGGGAAAATAGGATCTACAATACATACATACATACATAAAGGCCAAACATATAACCTTCCCATGGGTTTCACCGCAGTAGGGTAAAGAGAGGAAAAAGTAGTTCTTAATTTATGTTATTTCTTTCAGTGTTTTTCACATTTTGCTATATTTTTAAGGTAAAGCCAATGATGAACAACGTGTCAAAGATCCCAACGGTCTCACAAATGACTCATGATCAAGTCAGACGTCTCTACGAACAGAGTTCTGGAGAAATTACTATGAATACGCACATGTAATTGCTATTATTGTAAGCGTTATTAGATATATTTAAATATGATTTAATGTGACAGAATGCATATCAACTTTATTATTATCTGTTCATATTAAAAATAACCGGAAAGATTTTTGATAACCAATCCTTAAAATTCTTCTACTGAAAAACTCAATTGCCTTATAGTAAAACGTAGTATTAAAAAATAAAATAATTAAATAAATTTATAGTCTTCATTTACAATGTAAATGTGACATCGACAAAGAAAGTTTCTTATAATATCAGAAACTTGTCAAAAGTGCCGAAACGAAATATAATTTAGAATTAAATTAGAAATATGTCACAATACTCATTAATGCATGATTTTGTTATTTTAATTAAAATAGTATAATATCTAAGAAAAATATGTTGAAATTGATACTTAAGGTGATATCTGTACGTATGTATGTACATAAATCGTGTAAACATTGTATTACATTAAAATTCATACATTTTCGCCAAGTGTGTTTACATTTCAATTTGTCAACGAAACTTGTGTGAGAATGTATTTTTTTTTTAAATAATTATAACTGAAAATAATTATAAAATAATTTAAATAAGTTGGCTTTAAAAAGCGCACATAATGTTCGTTACAAGTGCCTTAGCACAATATTTAAATTAAGAAGTAGAAAATGTAGGAAAATAATAATAATTCATACTATTAAATTTATAAATAAAAAAGTCATAATGACAAATTTACCTAATTAATAAATACAATTTCAATGTATTGAAGTGGTTTTTATACATTAAAATTGCTGTAACTTATTTTGGAAAAATATATTAATATGTATTCATTTTCATATATTAGTATACAATTGGACGAATTTAAAAATAATTATAAGATTAAAACTATGTAGCTGTTCCGATTTTTTAATTTTAATATTTAGCAGATTTTATTAATAAACATCTTAAAATTATGTAAATGGACGTTTACATAATAAAAGTTTAAAAATATAGATAGTGTAATAAATTACTATTAGAATTTATTCATTATAGATAGAATTTATTATTAATATTAAGCCTATGGTATGTTTTAATTTTTTTTTAATATTTAGTTCAAAGAAAAATACAGAAAATGAAGTTAAAAAAATCATGTGTCAAAATTTTTCATGATCAGTATTTTTTTTTAATTTTATTTCATTTGTATTTACATTACTGTATAAAATTGTTTTAGTAAATATACTTAGAAAATCTATACGGCCTTGATTAGTAAATATTATTTTGTAAATATCTATAAAATGAATATTAATTTTAGATTTTTTTTTCTTTAAATAATGTAGTATAATATAAGCAACAACCGGCTGAAGAGGACCATTTAGATGTAAACAATTGAAAACGTTTGTATATAAAGCAATTATTTAAAGTACTAGAATAATCTAGAAGTGATCACGTAGAATACCACAAATCAGGGGCCAATCTAGATTTAGATATAGATGATAGATGAGAAAATCACAATATTTTTGCGCACCTTAATTTTAAACATACGTAATTATTTAGCTATACTTAAATTGTGGCAATTAAATAATGAAAATCAAAAGCTTTTAGTTTAATATCAATATAATTTCAATTCTTCAACGATTGTAAAATGACATCATTATTTTTGGTACAAACGAATTACTTTTCTAATTGTTAGTTTAATTTCTAAAATAATTAATCGAATTTATTGTCTATAATGATGAGTAAGAAGTTCTGGGTGTACAAAAAGGTAAAAAGCATTTTCTTAAAGAAGAAAATAGTTTAAGAGCTGAGTACCGGCTTCTAGAACCACAAGCTATAACATGCTACCGACGTCGAGCCAAGAACGCGTATTTAAAGTCGCGATTCTATAACTCATATATATACACCTACTTAACATAAAAGTATTACGTATTCAGCCCTTTTTAACGTCCCACAGCTGAGCACGGGTCTCCCTTCAATACGAGAGGGATCAGGCCATAGTCCACCGAACGGGCCAAGTGTGGTTTAGCGGACTTCACGAGTCTTTCGAAAACTTGTTAGGTTCTCTTTGACATGCAGGTTTCCTCACAATGTTTTTCTTTACGGTAGGACAAGTGGGAATCATGTTGGAAATGACTCACACATGAAAATAACAGAGGTGCCAGATCCAGGAATTGAACCCGCTTCACTCGGTCTCAAGCAAACGCGTTACAGTAAAAGTATAATACTTTGTTCGAAATTTAAAAACTAAAATTCTTTATCTAAAATGATACTTTCGTTCATTATTTAATATGCCACTTCCGAGTATATTATGTAGATTGTAGTGTAGATATATATTTTTTATTACTACGTAATAATGTGCTGTTATATTTAATTAGATCTGTATTCTAAAACATAGTATAAAAATATATTTGGTAAATATTTTCTTCATAGGAAAATTTTAAAATTTTAACTATTGAACCTTTTTTAAACTTTGACAGCTCTTGAGAGCATAGACACCATCAACTTTTACGTAACGATTTATTTCCGATGTAATTCAGTTTAGGTTCTTAAACTGAGTCGCTAGTTTTCGAACCATCTACAGTTTTGTAAAAGTGTAAATTATTAAGTTTACATTATATTATAACAACTTCTATTGTATTGTTTTTTTTACAAATTATATATATAAAAATTTTGACAAAAATGCTACTCCAGATTAGGTCAGGAAAATAGTTCATGGTACGAATTTAATGTATTAAATTAACGTATAAGATTAATTTTAAATGTTGTTTAGGCTGAGACCTAATCTGAACTTCTTATGAAACTCATAAATTAAGTCACAATAAGAGTTGATGGTGTGATGGTTAATGGTGAGCTGTGATTGCAATATAAGCTTGGTTTAAATTTTATATATTTGAACTGTCATGTCTACAAAATATTGTATTCAAGCCCTTTTTAACGTCCGACTGCTGGGCCCGTGCCTTACTGGCTTCCCTTCAATACGAGAGGGTTTAGGTCATAGCCCGCCACGCTAGCCAAGTGCGGATTGGCGGACTTCATATTACCTGTCTTTCGAAAACTTGCTAGGTTCTCTCAGACCTACAGTTTTCCTTACGATGTTTTTTTTGGCCGTGGGACAAATGGTAATCATGTTAGAAATGATTCGCACATAAAAATATCATATTTATAACCTCTTTTATTTCGATTAATATTATAGGGGATAAGTTTAAAAATGTTTGTATTAAATTAATGAGACTTACCAATAATATTGCGATAACTTCGCCGTTCTTTTTCTTTTTTTTTACTGATCTACATCTTATTATATATAATGTAACAGCTTATAATAGAATGTATCTTATATCATTAATTAACGTATACTACTATCATATAGATATTAAGCACAGTGTTAAATCACGTGCAATCTATTAGAACTAAACACGAACGTGTTGTAGTTTGTAATTTGTTTACGACTATGAAATAAAGGAGCACTTTTGTATTGTTAGTTGTTTTTTTCTTACTGCCATGACATTTTTTTTATGATAACTCATGCTCGACTACTATGTCGCCATGGAGTATAAATCTATTTTAAATAAAACTATCTTTTCGGATTTTGTCGCGGATTTTTGTTTCCCGACGTTTCGAATGCTTTACAGCAATCATGGTCACGGGAGAGACCATGTCTCGTCTCTCCTCTGTTACAGGGCGAATACCATGTTATAGAACACATAATAATTCAAAATATTAAAGCACTCAAAAATTAATTTTAACGATTCGTCCCTGTATACGAATTTAATAGACGGTCTTCTCAGAATATAGTTTTATTCACCCGGAAAAATGTTAGAATTCCAACGATGATACATATACTATATATACATATACTACATATATATATACTACATATATATATATATGATATATATAACGATACATATAATGTGAAAATATATTATTCTCTTTAATTGTTTACATAAATTGAAAATATATTAATGTATATTTGGAATTAATCAACTTTTACTGCTCTAGTGCTGTATTGTACGCTAACAACCGTTCTATTTAAAGATTTATTAAAAACAGTAAAACCTGCCGGGAGTAGAAGTACCAGGTACCATTTAATAAATGGAAAATCAATAATCATAATTTCCTATACACAAAAGACCATATTTCCTTGTACAGTTCACAGTTGTATACAAAATATATTGTATTTTACAGAGAAGGAGTACTGAATAAACAAACCAATAAGTATTTTCCGACTCATTTGACAGTGATCGTTGAATTGCGGGCCTCAGCTCCCCTTCTATTTTAACAATATATTCAATCATTGTTGCTTGTATGAAAAATAGCTTCTTCACCTTTATAGTGTAATTCAGGTTTTAATGCAGGATTTTGAATTGGTTTACCCTTTTGATATTCTTTTTCAATTTTAATATATTCTAAATATTGTATTTTATTCATATTGAGTAATATTTATATTCAATTGAATGGCGTTACTGATTGAAGGTAATAATAGTTGAAAACATTTCAAGAGCAGTGTCCGATACGACTGAATTAAATATCAGATTATGGCCAATTGGCGTATAGTATCTCTGTACAGTATCTCAGCGGTTATGTAATAAGATTTATTATATACATAATTTATACGAATTATTTTAGTTAGTATTTTATAATATTATAAATGTGAAAGTTTGTGAGGATGGATGGATGGAAGTTTGTTACTCAATCACGCCAGAAAGGATGAACGAATTAGAATGAAAGGCACAGAGATAGATTATAGTCTGGAATAGCACGTAGGCTACCTACCTTTTATCCCGGAAAAATATATGGTTCCCGTGGGATAGAATTGTTTTTGCCTTGGGACGAATCTGAAGCGAAGCAAGGGTAAGTAACTAGTATTTTATAATAATCAAAATATAATCAAAACGGTCACTTATGGTGAGTAGAAAAGGTAACGAATAATTCAAACCTTATGCAAATGATAAAAAGAATAAAAGCTCTATCCAAATAAATTAAGTAAAATGATAAGAATTAAAAAAACAATGTGCTTAAAATATCTGTGGAACGGGTAACCCCATCCATATCTATTTTCCCGCCATTACTGAAACTTTCCCGCGCTGTCAGGCATTTTGGCATAGTTTCCGCGGCCTTGACCGATCCACCGCAGTCGCCCCGCAGAGCTCACGGCAGAAACATCGTGTCCTGTTTATTATTTAACCGGGATCGATCGCGGTAGATTCAAAATGGTGAGTATTTAATTACCTAATTAATACCGTGCTTTATTTACGATATTAATTTAAAGTGAGTTTTGTGGAGAAAATAAAACAATTTTTAGTTCAGCTGAATTGAAGAATTTTAACACTTTAACGTTACGTCATGGGTATGATAATTATAGCGATCTTATTGTCAACGATTAAGCTTGAGCTATATTTTTAAGATATCATCTAGGTTTTATATAAATAACAAGAGCCTTTTTCTATTGATTTTACATGAGCGTAGCTTACAGATGAAACAAAGCATAATGTAATTTTCAGTGTTGGACGTAACTAAAGAAAGGATTATTGTGAACACATATTTTAAATAATTAATTCTTATTTAAAAAAAAATGTCTGTATGATGACAATATTTTGGACATCATTTGATGTGTAACATACAAAATTACAAACTGATATAAATTTATCTTATTTTTTTGTAAATACCGATTTAAAAAAAATACAAACATTAAATATTTTTTTAAATAAAAATCGATTCGCGTATGTCCTTCGTAATTTATGTATGATAAACGATTTTTATAGCAAATAGCAACTTCTAAAGTCTCGCAACGCTGCAAATCCTATCGACTGCATTCGATAACAGCTGATACAAGATTATTTTTATCGTATTTTTTTACAAGTAAACTCTCTTTACGTACCTTTCTCTGCTATTATAAAACTAACACAATATATCTGTTTCTTAGAAAATATTTCTTTTATTTATTTTTTGCCTGTTTTTTTTCTAGAACTATGCAATACTTGTAGTTCACACCCCTTCCCTCTTACTGTTTGTCAGGTTGCCTGGAAGAGATCGCTGTTTTAGCGATAAGGCCTCTTGTACCTAGGTCTTTTTATATTTTTCTTGTACATGTTTTTTTTTTCTCTTGTGGGTGTACAATAAAGAGTATTTATTATTATTACTTAAACTGAGATTGATATTGATAAGAAAATTTTAGTGCTTAAAAGGATAAACCATGAAAAATCATAGTTATAATTTATATATTATTTCATTCAGATTTGGTAATTCTTTACCTTTTCTCTTTATATTAAACTAGCTGTTTTTACCACGTATTTTATTTAATTCAAACCGCGTTTTTCGTGTTTTTATAAAAAAACTAACGACTCAGACCCCTAGGTACGTTTTAACGGTTAGTGATTTCAATACAAAATAAACAGCTCTGAATTTTTCGATTTTCCAGCTGTTCTTTTGAGTTTTCCCTATTTCTTTAATATTTAAACGACGAAAAAAATATATTCAAATCGGTTCAGCCGTTTTTGAACGAGACTAATGAACGGCAATTGATTTTTATATATGTAGATTAGGTATCGCTCTTTGAACTTAACTCCACTTTTTTCCAACTTCAATAAAAGTTATTATGATTTCTGATATAACATAGAAAATTTACCAGCACTCTGTTCCTGGGCACAATTACAAGCCTTTTAGCCTTTGCTGTTTTTGCTTAGCCCGGCACCATTCATTTCTAAGAAAATCTATTCATCTAAGCAATATTTCCAATATCATTTGTGTCTTTCTCCGTTTAAAATAATAATAAAATATAATAATATTCTCTAACTAATTTCGGCCATGACGACCTACTCGTATCTCACTCAGGTAGTCTAATAATTTGTGCAGGATGATTATAGTGCACAAGTGACGCACGGTTACACCAATGCACTCTCTATTCCTCTCGACTTCCTGTGAGTTTTCCACTCTAAAAGTCTAGTGGGACGATAATTCGATACAACTGGTGAGAAATAAGGCGCCGGAATTTTTTAATGTTCTCCGAGTTACGGAAGTGGCCGACAGGAGTTCTTAACAGAAATATCCACACTTTGTAGACCCGATGCGGGTTTTGAACCCACGATCACCGGATTTGCAGTAGTACGTACTAGCCACTAGACCAAAGAGGCAGTACTGCTAAGATAATAAACTCGTAGACGTGATTATTATTATTTTTTCTTTCACAACCACTTGTACGTACATGAATATTAGATGTAGTTATATATTCCTGGCTTTCGTAACGTAATATTTAGAGTTAGTTTATTATCTATACAAATATTATAAAGTGGTGAAGTTTGTGAGTTTGTGACGTTGTAGGGGGTAATCTTTGGATCTACTGAACCGATTTAGATGAAATTTGGTAAGAAGATAGTTTGAGACCCTGGGAAGGACATAAGATACCTTTTAACCCGGAAATCATCCCTTAAGGGGGTTAAAATGAGGATGAAAGTTTGTATTGGGAATCAAGCTAGGGATTAACCCTAGCGAAGCAAGGGTGAGTCGCTAGTTTTATATAGAAGTTGCAAAATCGTTAAATAAAGGCGAAAGAAGGACGAAACCATTGTTTGACGTCACGACGTGCTTGTTAAGCGTCATAGCTAAATTATTTCAAATGTATAAATATTTTCAAATATATACAAGAAACTGGTATTTATAGACAAGAATTTATTTTTCTTTGTTTTAGACAATCTTCACATCTTTCTTATCCACGATTTCGATCTATATAAAAAACACTTATCTATACTAATATTATAAAGAGGTAAAGTTTGTGAGTTTGTGAGATTGTGAGTTTGTGACGTAGTATGGGGCAATCTCTGGATCTATTGAACCGATTTAGATGAAATTTGGTAAGAAGATAGTTTGAAACCTTGGGAAGGACATAGGATACGACTTTTCAACCCGGAAATCATCTCTTAAGGGTGTGAAGATGGGGATGAAAGTTGACATAGGGACGCTCAATCTAGGGATCAAGCTAGGGACGAAATAAAACAAATCATTAATTGTGCAACTTCATTATCTTTAACTTAAAGTTTATATTTCTCCTAAATGGTTATCAGGACACTCAGGTCTATCATAATCGAATTAGTTGATTTTAAAGACCCTATAAAATATATACTTACTACCGCCATTAATTAAAAAAATTATTTTGTCTCCACTTAAAATATAAGAATTTTACAACACTTTACCTACTCACACGTAAAATAAATTGAAAGAATATTTTAGAAAACATAAGATGTTTACATACGAAAACAGAAATACAATAATACTAGCGGCTCACCTTCACCTTAGTATAGATTTCGCAGAGATGACATATATTCAGCAATAAAAAGTATCCTATATGTTGACCCGGATCCCTCCAGTGGTGTTTCCGTGATGCGGTCACAGACAGACAGACAGACAAAAATTCTAAAAACTATAGATTCGGCCTTGGTATTGATAATAATGATTATTTCAATTAGCTTTACCAAAAAATATTTTATGTACAGATTCAACTTAGAATTTTATTATATGTATAGATTATTTTAAGACAACTTTATAGTTCTATCCTTCGATTAAACTGAAATGTTTCATTGACGTACAGAAACACATATAAGCGGGATTTTCTCCAAAATAATCCAGTACTAAAGAGACGGTCGGGCCGCGGTCGAGCGTGCCAACTGCAATCTGGCAACGCCAAACGCACACGTGTAGTTAAAACATACAAAAATAAATATTTTACTTGATATTTTGATTCTCATAGAGATCTGTAAAACGTGAAAGTGTGTGGTTGAAAGATCTATTTAAAAGTATAATTTTGCTGTCTAAAGTCTAATATGTAAAAATAACCAATTTGTATTTTTAACTTTTACATCGTTATACTGTCTCGAATTAGCAGTCATTCTCTCTCTATTCCTTTCAAATATTAAATTTCTCTTTGAGCTGTTTTGAGAAAAACAAGAGCATTTTACATAGTATAATACTAATTATTTTATCCTGTGTGATACTTTGATATATACTTTAAAGTAACCTTTAAAGTTTGAAGTTTGTTTTGTAACTTGTCGGCAGAGAATCTTCTCTCCTCTATGGGAATGACATTAAGTTGCTGTAATTTACATAAAAGTATACGACGGTGGCTCGTCAATTAGGGCCGCTCCACACTATAGTGCCGATCACAGTCCGTTCTCGATCTGATACCGGTCTGGTAAACTATTTCTATACAAGAAACGTTGCTAGAACGTGATTTGACTATAGTGTGGAGCGGCCAGCCCTTAATGTTGATGTCAATTTTTAATTCTTATTCTTATCTCATATAAAAGCATAAGAACTTTTATAAATGAATAGTTATCATATTAAAAAAAGGTTTATTTGCATATCAATATTTTGGCAGATTCATTGTTTTTAAATATAAAAAATCTTATTCTTATACATTTTTTTTTTAAATTCGTCTTAACAATCCTGTAATAATTCAATATTTTAACACAATCTATAGTTTTCATTATAATTTATTTTTCATTGTTTGTATTTATTTCATTGTATAATTTAGAAAACTTTTAAAGTTTATTCATATAATTAAATGAAAATCATTCGAATTGAAGAAAAGCTCTTAAAATGTAAACGTTTGTACGTGATCGTGCTGTTAACCGCCACATGGATTCAACTACAACAGCGTAGCGAGAAAAAGCACATGTTAATAGAGGTAATTATTCTGTACAGAGGAGTGATGTGAATGTGAGTGAGTAATGTGAAAGTGTGTGATTTTTTAAAACACTTAAATAAAGCTCTAGCATCAATCGTAGATAAGCTCAAAATATATTTTTTTGTTTATTCAGAACTTGGTCTTTTCTCGAATCTTTCCCATTGGTTTCTTTTGGAATTGGTTTTTCTTAATCCGATAAATTGTAAAATAAACAGTTTTTTTTACACATTAACACACATTACCATCTAGTTCCATGGTAAGCTACAAGGCTTGTGTTATGGATACCAGATAGTTAATACACTACACATATATAACTTATATACATACATATTATTAATAAAAATATAAACACCCATGACTGAAAGACAAACACTCGTGCTCATCACACAAATGAATGCCCCCAGCGGTATTCGAACCCGCGACCGCTGGCACAGCAAGTACGGTCAATACAAACTGAGCCAAACGTGTGTGTCGTCAAACTTTGTTCTTATCCTCTGCCCTACCAGTTCTCTGTCTGACCTTTGTCCTTTGACATCAGCCCAAACAGTCCATAAAGTCACTACTAGTCACTAGATGGTAGCATTCGTTAGTAAATTTGGTTTTATTCCATATGAAATGAAATTAATAATGTTCAATTCGAAATTGAGCACTGAGAAAGGTTTTTTCCAAGTTCATCCCCTAATATTAATCAGTTTTTTTGTTCCTTACTTTTAAGTTAAAATAAAGTTGTTAAGGACAATTTCTCTTACTCTTCAGGGATATGATATTTTAAAAAGATCGATACATACATACCTACTAAATAGATTTCTAAATGTTAAAGCCAACCCTAAAGTTTTACACTTTAAATGTAAATCTAAGTCAATTAATTTTAACGAGTTGCAAAATGTTAGTTCAAAAGCACGAATGGCTGAGCTTTTTGATTTGTTGTGCTCTACTGAGCTTAGAAGGTCAAGAGTCAACTACATTTACTGGAGCATTTTTTACAATTTTAAAAGAAAAACATTTGTAAAATATATTTGACGACACGTTTGGCTCAGTTGGTAGTGACCCTACTTGATGTGCCAGCGGTCGCGGGTTCGAGTCCCGCTGGGGGCATTCATTAGTGTGATAAGCACGAATGTTTGTACCCCAGTCATGGGTGTTTATTTTTATAATATGTATCTATTTAAAGTTATACATATATGTGTAGTGTATCAACTATCTAGTATCCATAACACAAGCTTCGTAGCTTACCATGGAACTAGATGGCGCTGTGTGTTAATGTCCCAACATATGTAATTTCACTAAGTATTAGTAATTTTCATATATTGTGCTATTGAGTTCAAAAATCATGTAGACTTCCATCATTTTAAAATATTCTAATTTGTTTTAAATTAAATCTCATTATTAAAAACAGAGCTTTTATTATGTTACAATATTTAAAAAAATACATCAACCAAACGTAAGTTTTAAATATATCGTACCTTATGAAGTTAGTTAAAGTTCGTAAAATCTTTATAGTAAAAATATAATGCTGTTGCGTTCAAAAGCGTATCATTTGACAACGAACGGACGGACGGATTTGGCTAAAGTTGTTTTTGAAATGTTCGAATACGGTTTTTGGAGTTCACGTATTTGGAAAAATTGTCCAGATTTTAATTCAATATCTCCCAAATTGGGAAGATATTGACATTAACGACACGCTTGGCTCAGTTTGTAATGGCCCTACTTGATGTGCCAGCGATCGCGGCTTCGAGTCCCGCTGTATTCATTTGTGTGATGAGCTCGAATGTTTGTACTCCAGTCATGGGTGTTTATAATAATAATATGTATAAATTTGAATTTATATATGTGTAGTGTATCAACTATCTGGTATCCATAACACAGGCTACGTAGCTTACCATGGAACTAGATGGTGCTGTGTGTTAATGCCCTAACATATTTATTTATTTTATTGTATGACCTCAAACAATATATCTATTATATAAATAGACATATCAAAACAATGCAGTACCATTTTTTCCTTTGTCTGTTAATCGATTTTCTTTTTTTTCTGTTTACCAGCTATTGACGAGCTTTAGTGATATCAATAAAAAAATTGGAATCAGTTAGTTTTTTTTTACATGGATTGGTAGAATACTTATTAGTTGGAATTATTAGTTTGAAATTATTAGTTGGATTAGCTAGTTATCTTTACTAATATTATAAAGAGGTAAAGTTTGTGAGTTTGTGACGTTGTAGGGGTAATCTCTGGATCTTCTGAACTGATTTAGATGAAATTTAGTAAGAAGATAGAGACCCTGGAAACGACATAGTATACTTTTTTCCTATAAAGCATTCCTTATGGGGGTAAAAATGGGGATGAAAGTTTGTTTTGGGAAGCAACCTAGGGACGAACCCGGGCAAAGCGGGGGTAAGTCGCTAGTTATATATAAAAACACATTGTTACACAAAATAGAAAACTAGCGATGTGGTCAGGCATTCTGACAAACGTCAAAATTGATTGACTTAGACCTTGAACACGTTCATTAGAACGACATTGAAATATAATCAATGGATTCTTGAAATTTGTTTATTTTTTGTTGGTTTCAAAGTACTAATCTATGAAGGTAACAATACAATTGGCACTAGCGACTCAGCCTCGCTTCGCCTCAGACTTGTTCCTAGTGAACAAAAACAAATCTATCCCACTGGTACCGTACATTTTTCCATGATAAAAACTAAATTAATCCAGATTATATTCTATTTCTGTGAAAATTTCATCCAAATCCGCTCAGCCGTTCTAGCTCGATTGAGTAACAAACATCCAACCCAACTTTCGCATTTATTTTATTACTAGCAACTCATCTCGCTTCGCTCAGGTTCGTCCCTAGATATGTTTTGACGATTATTATGGAATAGATTTTAATTAAAAAAAAACTCGTAATATTTTCCGATGTTTTAATACTTATTCTGCTATTCGGGGTGATGACAACTTCAACAAAATAAAGATCATAAAATCAGTCCAGCAGTTCTCGAGTTATCAGTGTTGCAACAAACCCGACTTTGTTTTATATACCTACCTATATTGAATAGATTATATATATTTATTAATTATTATAAAGGGATTTACTAAGGAAAATTTAGAAGCTATGTATCTATTTATACCCTACGAAAGTTAGAAGGCTAAAAAGAATCAAATGTTACGAACCAACCCACAGGCTTAAAACTAGTCTATAATATTGTACATTTTACCATAACAATGTATGAAAAAATAAATAATTGTTTTAAACAGTTGAGGTTGGTTAAAGATCATGTAGACTTATTTCTCTTTTGTCTACTCAAACGTGTGAAAGTAAGATATACCTCGTACAAGAATCAAACCCGGTATAAAGGTAATCTGTAACTACTGGATCACGACAGTGAAGAATAAAAAAACTACTTTTGTCCATGACTTTGCTTGTGTGGTATTACTCAAGGTCAGTCTCTATTAGCAATAGAATTATTGAATACGCTTCACAATATATATTATACATACAAATCAAAAAATGTTACCCTATTATATATATATATATATATAATATATATTTATAAGTTTAATTCCTTCGAACAATTATTATTTTTATTATTCGACCAGTATTCAATAATGACAGACATGTCTAGTTCAAGTAAATAATTTAGAAAGAATTAAGATTAAAAACTGTAGATATTGAATCTTTTATACTTATAAATAAAAGGAAGATTCGGACGAGCGGCGGTCACAGTGAATGGCCAACACGAAAATAAACTACCTCGTAGTAACAAAACGTTACGTACGAAATATTGTTCTAATAATATCACCTAAGATATACAGATGAAAGCTTCAGATACCAATGGTTTTTATTTCACTTTCGTAATCACAGCGTATGTATGAATGTAAAATGACAATATATTCAAGCTTTCTAGAACTTTTAAAAAGTTCAAGTCACAAGATAAGACACAATTAATAACGAAATTATTCGAATTATATCGAGAAAAACGGCTCGAAAAGCCGTTCCGAAGATTAACCAATATCAAGGTTGGCAAAAAAGTTAAATGACTACGCAATTTTTAAGCTTTAACAATTAACCATTAAATTAAATTTGAAGCGTGGCAATGGAGTATAGATTACTTCGCCAATGTCAGGTAGAGTCGGTAAAATAAGTTTATTATATAAATGAATCCTTTGTAATCCTTTACATAGGCAAATAATCATAATATGATGATGATGATGATGTTCTCCTGACCGATTCCGGCCACGGCGGCCAATCTCATTGAGACTAGCCAACTGCGTAGGAGATATTATAGTGCACAAGTGTACGCGCAGACACAACGTGCACTCTCTATTCCTGTCACTCTCATATTCTGGTGGGACGACACGAGACACGACCGGTGAGAGTTAAGGCGCAGGACCGACGGCTTTACGTGCTCTCCGAGGCACGGGGGTGAAACACCGCTAACTTCCCAACTCCAGGCTGTGACTGAGGCTTACTATACAGAAAGACTCAATAACTAAACTTGGCCCGACCCGGGACTCGAACCCAGGACCTCCGGGTGTGCGGCCGTACTTACTAACCACTACACCACCGAGGCAGTTAATCATAATCATAATATAAGCTCACATATACAATAGTTACATTTTATGGTAGCTATATTGAAAACATTTTTTTTTGTTTTGTTTGACTTCGTGCCAACTGAACACTATATTTTATGTATAAATAAACGTAGATGTAATAAGCACAATTTCTAATAACAGAAACAATACATAACCCTTTATGTTAAATTTACACACTTTTTTATTTATGTTAAATTTACTTTTTGTTTTTTATTTGTAATAATGATTTACTACAAAAACGCTACTATTATAGTTTACTTATGTTATTGTAGTTTTAAATTCTAGCCGTGAAAAACTTTCTACCCAGATATAGATATATAAAAAATAAAAAAAACCTATATAGGTATAAAGTACCTTAAAAAATGCTTTGGAATTTTAAGTATCAACGAAACTCTTCTTGGCTCTTTCTTTAGCTCTACGATAGACTAACTAAATATTTTTGTGACACAATTCAAATAAATAACATCTCACGGACAATCGTTTATAAACATATTCTTAACGTAACGTTAAACCTTGTTCATTTTTATTATTATCATCTTTGAATGAGAAAACTAAATACCTTACGTATATATATATATATATACCTTACGTATGTATGTATATATATATATATATATATTGAAGATATTCTTGATAAATACATTAGCAATATACCTATATTATAAAAATATCGTTATCTAAAAATATTTTATATTGATATACAATTAAAAAGAAATTCCTTTTTCCTTATACAATTACGTAAATTTATTTAAAGACATAAGTGTAAATCTGTTTGACTGTAAGATGTTACTGTATTATTCCAGGCTCCCATCGACTCCAGTAAAACCCCCATTGTATGGGTTCTTGGCGGCCCTGGGTCGGGCAAGGGCACGCAATGCGAGAAGATCATTGCCAAATATGGTTTCACTCATCTCTCTACCGGGGATTTACTTCGCGCTGAAGTCAAGAGTGGTTCCGAAAGAGCGAAAACCTTAACTGCTATTATGGAACGAGGTTAGTTACTCAAAAAATTGATTGAAGTATAATTTCTATCTAACGGCTGATTTAAAGAAAACATTGATAACATAAAATATATAAAAGTAAATATTTATTTATATAAAATACTTTTTTTAAATGTTCATATCATGGTATTATATAAATTACTTTAAATTATATTTTGTTAGAATTTTGTCATAGAAAACTATATTTAGAAATGATTCTTAGAAACACTTGTCATTATCAATGGGCTAATTGTGCAGGCTCGTATTGTCAATTTTGGGACAAAATTTCATTATTTTTTCGTGGTAAATATATGGTGAATGCTTATATATAAAATTGTGTTATTCGTGACATTTCTCCTCCTAATCGGCTCGACCGATTTAGATGAAATTTGATTGTCTACTTATAGAGACAGAGGTTCTGAGTTATGTTTAGTAGGTGGCGCTGTTTTAAAGACCCATTTTTTTTTAATTTTCCGACAATTTTTTTTATATTAATAGATAGATTTCGACTTATGTTGATTCTCTCACATAAAAAATAGAATAATAAACAGAATAGAGATATATTTTTTTTATATATTTCTAGGTGAACTAGTACCCAATGAGATTGTACTGGATCTCCTTAAAGAAGCGATGATGGCGAAAGCCGGTGAGGCAAAGGGCTTCCTCATCGACGGCTATCCAAGAGAGAAGTCGCAAGGCATCGCATTCGAACAAACTATTGCTCCAGTTACTGTAAGTTTTGAAGAAGAACCCTTTTTTTAACGTTGGGAAATGCATTTACGCACGAGGTGTGGGACTCACCGGCGTAATACAGCCAGTACTACCCACTAAAACCCAACAAAACCTTCCCCCGTCTTAATGGAGCGTCGCAGAATCGCATACGCATTCAACTACGACGCCCCGAAGGCAGGTCTGCCGAAGCAGACCACCACAACCATGGGGTTGCTCCAAGGTCCACTCTACTATCAGAGAAGTACCAGGAGCAACCCGCATGATACACCGCCCCCCGAAGAGGGCCGCCTCCCACCGCCCATCGAAGTGGGCCACCTTGGAGAAGAACCCTACTCACGTGTCACTCATTCACTTATTAGTTATTACTTACTCACGTAATCACACACTCTTTTAATCACTGGCTTATCTTAATACTAGCTTGGGAATCCAATTGAAGCGTATTCTAATCCTTTGTCTTGTACCTCTGATATTCTCATGTGTAAATCATTTTTCTACTTGCCTTGAAAGAAAACATCTTTAGGAAACTTGAATGTTTGAAAGAACCTAGCAAGTTCTTGAAAGACATGTGAAGTCCGCCAACCCGCACTTCGCCAGCGTGGTGGACTATGGACTGATCCCCCTCGTATTGAAAGGAGGCGCGTGCCCAGCAGTGGGACGTTAGTCCCGTTGGGTTTTTTTTCACCAGTTCTTATCAGGACTGACGCTTTTTTACCGAACTGGTGGTAGCCCATGAAGTTCAGTAAAATTAAAGAGTGCGTGTACGAAGACGCTTGCAAGAAGTAAAACTTCTGTTATCGGTACTCTTTATGAAATTCAATCTATGTTTTAAATAATTAGGATAGGTTAGATACTAAAAAACGCATATTATACATATTACGATCACATATTTATAGAATATATATCACTAGCGGTTCACCCTCGCTTCGCTCGGGTTCGTTTCTAAGCATGTCTTAAATAGATATAAATAGTTATTAGCCAGCATTAGCCATATAAATTTTAATTATCTTTTCGTTAATTTTTCTAATGTTTTAATACTTATTATCTAGTTATTCCAGACTAAGAGAAATCCAAAAAATCAAATTTCATGAAAATTGGCCGTTCTTGAGTTATAAATGGTGTAACTAAGACGACTTCGTGTTATTTATACCTAATTTACCTTATTTTATATTTTTTCTCTTTATTAATACTTCCGTGTGCCTTAAGGAACATGCGAAAAAATTAGCTGAATTGGTCGAGCCGTTCTCGAGTTTTGCGCTTAGCAACATTCAATTTTGTTTATATAAATTTGTCAGACAATAACAACGAGTAGGTACCATGTCAACAAATTTTTCGTAACGCATTCACCAGCTTACGCCCCAAGTCAAGCGTGCGAAAACAAAAAATTGCGAAAAAAAAAAATTGTAATAATTTAATGCTAAATAAAATATTTTGAATTTTAATAGGAATTCTATTAGGTATAACGTGTTCCAGGTGATAATCTACTTCGAGGCGTCGTCAGAGACCCTCACGAAGCGGCTGCTGGGGCGCGCCGCCAGCTCCGGCCGCGCCGACGACAACGAGGACACCATCAAGCTGCGCCTCAAGACCTTCCTGGAGAACAACGACATGGTCCTCGCGCAGTACCCCGACAAACTTAAGCGGGTAAGAACACATTTTTACTAATCTTAAATAATACTAATATTATAAAAAGGAAAGATTTTTTGTTTGTTTGTTCGTTTGTTTGTTTATTTGTATGGAATAAGCTCCGAAACTACTGAACTGATTTAGATGTTTGGTGAGAAGATAGTTTGAAACCCTGGGAAGGACATAGCATAGTTTTTGACCCGGAAATCATCCCTTAAGGAGGTGAAAAAGCTAAAAGATGGCAATGGCCAGTCTGTAACATTATAAATTAAAAAGGCACACACAAGTTTCTAGTGTAGAATAATAATAACACCTAACAATATTATCTCTCTAAAACTAGAGACTCAACTTCGCTCCGCTCGAGTTCGTCCCTACTTATGTTTCATCGTTTAGTATCGATTTCTCAGAGATGAGATATTTTCTCGCAGTAAAAAAAAACTATATGTTGACCCGGATAATCAGCTATCATCATATCAAATTTCATCAAAATCGCTCCAGTGGTTTTTTCGTGATGCGGTCACAGACTGACAGACAAAAATTTTAAAAACTTTAGATGCCTTTATGTCGATAATAATGTCTATTTCAGTAAGATTTTCCAAAAAATATTTAATGTACAGATTGGGCTTAGTTACAATTTTATTATATGTATAGATTTCAATAGTATTTTTATTTATAATTTTTATATATTTGTAGATAAACGCGGAAGACACTGTCGACTCCATCTTCAGTCAAGTGGTGCAGATCCTGGACCCGCTCGTCGCATAAAACTAGTCTACTTACCTGTTGATTGATTATAAGCTAATTATATTGTTTAAATAAAACCTTTTTTAAAATAAATAAGGTCGTTTTTTTTTATATTCCTCTAGTCGATGGTACCACAGACTAAATAGAGATAGACTGCACATTAACAAAAACAGTGGATAGGCTGCTACTTCTACACCACAGTACAACATGATCTTGTATAAAGTCTACGCTAGAGGACCATCAAAAAAAATATTTTCTAGTTCGTTTCGTAAACTTGTTAGCGTTACTTAAAACCCTTTTATCATCGTTTTAATGTCAGCGATATTTTTTTTTTTATCTTTATTGCACAAACATAAGAACAAAAAGTACAGATGTTAGATAAAGTACATTAGCAAGTAAAGGCGGTCTTATTGCTAAAAGTACATCTACCAACCAACCGTTAGTAAGATGATTTAATAAGACGGAAACGCGATGGTGCTATAAAAACAAATATATATTTTATTCAAAATATGCTTTAAAAATGTATCACAGAAAAATTATATCTAAACGCTTTAAAGATAATTTAAACATTCAATAACTGACAGCACGTCAACAGAACAGTAAACCTTAAAATCATTTTATTATAAAAAAAATCGAAATTATTGTTATGCAACGCTATAATTAATTCCACTTTTTTATTGTTAGGTATATTTATTTAACAAAAAATTAAAATGGAGGACAAGCCGTGCTATCCATGTGAACAGGAAGTTATTGAGAAGAACCCGCCCTGTCCTTTGCAGTGTATGTCCCCTAAATGCAAGGCATATCAGAGAACGGTACGTTAAAATATATATAATTTTGAATAAAATATACTAATAGTAGTATGTAATATTCTTGTTATAACTGTACTTTAGCCATAATTGCCAATCTCACGGACTGACCGTCTATTTGAGAGATACCATAGATTCTCAAGTGAGATGTCGTCACAGGATATAATAACCGTTTTCAATACAAATCTAAAGAAAAAAGAGATTCTTTCAATAACCCATTTTATTCTATAATAAATTATTATAATCTAGGCTCCCATAGACTCAAATAAAACTCCCATTGTGTGGGTATTGGGAGGCCCTGGGTCTGGCGCGGACATTCAGTGTCAGATGATCACCGCCAAGTATGGTTTTATTCCGCTGTCAACCGGCGACCTTCTCCGCGCGGAGGCGAAAAGTGGCTCCGATAGGGCCAAGTGCTTAGCTACTATAATGGAACGTCGTAAGCTAAAAAAGTTTTTTTTATTTTTTATTTATTTATTTAATCATTTATTTCAAGCAATATTTACAAAAAATCTTAAATATGTAAATATGTAGAGGTCCATAGCATAATATATACCTTAAAACTAACATATATATTTATAAAGAACTAATAACTTATCCACTACCAGCAAAACCCGCGGCTTCGCTCGCACTAAAACTACAAAAAAACTCTAAAAAGTGGGTTTCATAAAACTTTCATCCCCTATTTACCCTCTTAGGGGTTGAATTTTAGAAAACGCTGAAATAAGTAACTCATTATTTTTGCTGTTCTCAATTCATACGAAATTTCAAGCAAATATGTCCAAGCAATAAAAAGTTTCATACAAACTTTTATCCTCTATTTAACCCCCTTGGGGGTTGAATATTGAAAAATACTTCCTAGTGGAGGCCTTTGTCGTATGAGGAATACGTTTACGCGTTGCGTGTAAGGGTTTGGCCTGTGCGTTGTGCGTTGAGGCATCAGTCAATCACTTTTGCCTTTTATATATATATATATATATATATATATATATATATATATATATATATAATACAGATTAGTAAACTGCATCTCTACAAAATTGAAGATATTTCCAAAATATTTTACGTATATTAATTTGAGCTTTACCTAAAAATAATATGATAATTGCCACATTTATTTAAATTAAAATAAATGTGGCACTCGGAGACTGCCGCGGTAAAGCTATTGCATAGCATTTTTTATCAACTTATGCAATTATAATTATTTATTTATTTTATTAATGCAGTATTTTTTTTCCTTGACTTTCTTCATTAATAAATGCACTTTGTTTATTCATATTTAAAACACTTTGTACACAAATTATACGAGTACAGATATTCACTGTTGTACATAGATGATAAATACCTACACACCTATATACTTTCTCACAAACAGCTGATTACGGTAGTTTTCCAATACAACCAATGCCACCTAAAGGCGGGTTGCTAAACTAAAGAGACAAGCGTGATATTTCAAAAAGTCATTAAAAGTTCTGGTATTTATCGATAGATGGAAGTATCACCGCTGTGCCGGTCGGAGTGGGGGGTGTCAGGTTTTTTTCGTTACGGAATTTCTGGATTCGGTCCCCACGCTCAAGGCCCGCGATAGAAGCTATGCAATAGCTTAATACTAGTGACTAAAACTATTTTTAAAAGCTTATTTAGTCAGACTTAACCATTTTTATATTATACACGACTTGCCAGCTAATGAAAACTTACACCAAGCCTCAACTTTGAGTGATTTTTTTAGGAGAATTAGTACCAAACGACGTGGTAGTAGACTTGCTAAACAAAACAATGCTGGCGATGGCTGGTGAAGCTAAAGGATTTCTCATTAACAATTTCCCACGGGAAAAGGCACAGGGTATTTTCTTCGAGAAGAAAATCACACCAGTTACTGTGAGTGTAGAAAGAAGTGATTTATGAGTGTGATTTTGGTGTCGCTTCTTAGATGCTTTGTTATAAAGGAATATTAATATTTCTTTATTTTAATTAAAACATAGAGGCATAATAATTATGGTTAAAATGCAGGTAATAATCTACCTTGAAGTATCACCAGAAAATCTTGCCAAATTGATTCCTACTGATGCCAAGAGCACTATAGACCCACAACTCAAGACATTCCTGGAAAATAATGAACAGATCCTCGAGCACTGGCCGAACAAAATCAAACGGGTGACATATTTTAAGCAAATACATTATAATATACACGTTCGATTCCTGCTTATGTAAAAAAATATATGTACTTTCTTAAGCTATTAGTAGTAGATGTTAGTAGAATCAAATAGAACTGTCAGACAATTTAGTGGTAAAAAAATTATGATATTTTCGCTTTCAATTGGCTTCGATACTCATTATACCTTGTGCTCAAAAGTACCTAGTATGTATCCTATCAATCAGCAAAAAATCCTTCAAGAATGATATCGTATATTATCAGGAATCAGAATCAAGTTAAACTTAATTTTAAGTATGTGGTATGTATTCAGCCCTTTTTAACGTCATACTGCTGGGGGTGGGCCTCTCTTCAATACGAGGGGGATAAGGCCATAGTCCACCACGCTGGCCAAGTGCGAGTTGGCAGACTTCACATGTCTTTCGAAAACTTGCTAGATTTTCTCTGACATGCAGGTTTCCTCACGATGTTTTCCTTCACCGTAAGGCAAAGTGGTAATCATGTTAGAAATGATTCGCACATGAAAATATCAAAGGTTCGAGACGCGGGATTTGAACCCGCTTCTCTCGATTTCTAACTTACTACTAACTTTTTTTGTTTTCGAAGAGATTGTTTGAAGTGGCTTTAACTTTTATACTTAAAAAGAAATCATTTTAATATTATACACATTTCAGATAAGCGCTGAAGGCACAGCGGACGCCATTTTCAGTCAAGTGTCGCAATTTATTAACCCTCTAATCGCCTGACACATACAATACATATGTACAATATATATCTATAGTTGATTCATTATCTGAATAAATTGACCAGTACTTAAATTAAAAAATATTCTTTTAGATAACGTCGGTTAAATATTAAAAAATAACTTTATTTTAGTAAAAAGACTATTATATTATAATAATTCTCATGAGAGCAAATGTAACTGGCATATTTCGAATACAGAAAAATCCCTTTATGATGATTTACATATCTCGATAATTTTCTTTATTAAGTCTTCAGTAAGTAGTTTAATAAAATAAAATCAAAAAAAAACCAAACTAGCGAAACAAATCTGTTTAATCACAAAATTGTAGACATTGATGATAATAGCTACGAAGAAAATTCCAAGTAATATCGATCTCCACCCACATGCTTACATACCAGAAGAAAAGTATTTCATATGAAACAAATATAACATTACACATAGGTTGCCTAATAAAAAATACGATTCGTTAAATAATGTAAGCTGTTAACACTTTTCAGTACATACTTGAGACCTTTTTCTACGTATTTTAGCTTTATTAAAGAGACACTTGCGTGTGCGCACACACGCCTATAATATAATATCCTCAGAGCAGTTGCTAGGAAACACAGTATCTAGATTTATATAATAAACTCATAAATAACTGCGAACATTGACTTGACACTATCAATATTACTTAAAATAAAAAAAATATCGATACTACCTATTTCTTCATAAAATCCTTACAACTTTACGATAGATATAAAAATAAGTTTTTTATGGCCACTAAACGCTTCGTTCGATTTAAATATCTTACATCTCAAAGTTTTCTAAACAAATTTTAGACTTCTAAACCTTTATTTAGTGGCCCACCAAAATGTTTTTATAAGAAACGAAATAAAATATAAATTCTACATATTTATTATTTTCTATAAAATTACACAAACGAGTGATTGAAACAAACCGAAGTATCCACAACCAGTATTATCGTATTACACTTAAACAAATATTTTATGAGATTTAAGACTTACCACTCATACTAAAATTATAATAGGTACATACATATACTTAGTCTATCATTCAACTTAAACTATAATTTTGTAAATTCAATAATATACCAATTTTAAAGGACATCAACATGGAATAAAAGCGGAAATATGACGTCCTAATTACTATAGACGTAGACAATAGACTGAGCAATACTGTCATGAAATTGACCACTATCTAGAAAGAGAGAAAGCGAACGTGCGGCTAATAACCTGTCTTTTATTACAATTTGAATTTATAAATGGAATGTAATGAAAATATAATACTATTGATAAAAACTTTTTAACAAAAAAATAAAAACCGACTTCAAAAAAAAGCACTAAAAAGTAAAAAATAACTGATTGGTAGTTTTCATTTACTATACATACCTAATCAAATATTTTCGAAGTCGGTGTGCTTTGCTTTGTATGGGCTGGCACCGATTTCGAAAATATTTGATTAGGTATGTATTTAATAGGTAGGCTTTAATCACTTAGCCAAAGCACACCGACTTCGAAAATATTTGATTAGGTATGTATAGTAAATGAAAACTACCAATCAGTTATTTTTTACTTTTTAGTGCTTTTTTTTGAAGTCGGTTTTTATTTTTTTGTTAAAAAGTTTTTATTTTTCCCTTTTTAGTGTAGACAGTAGTAGCAAAGTAAGGATTCTAACGTGTTAGGCTTGTCAAATCAAACAAAATAAGCCCAAACTCAAAGTATCTACTATTAGCCGTTGAAGAGTTCCACCTATCCACCTTCTGGCCTTGCCATCAGATCAGGTCAACAACACCGAACCACTGTACTATCAACGGAAATAGAAATACTTGCAAAGTTTCAAGTCAATATGACAATTAGAAGTAGGTTAAATTCATCATTAGTTGTTTTTCCACCCTTAGGGGTGGTATTTTTTTTGAAATTTAAATGGGACCAATCTGGAAGTATACCCTTTCAAACAAAACAAAAATTGTCCAAATCGGTTAATAAATGACGAAGTTCTAAGGTAACAAACATAAAAAAAAACATACAGTCGAATTGAGAACCTCCTCCTTTTTGAAGTCGGTTGAAAATTATAATATTAGGTATAATGGAATGTTATATGGTTAAAAATATCCATCTTCATTAATTGTATTTTAATTAATACAGAAGACTACTGGTCGCACATTCGTTTTGTCTCTGTCGCTTTGCCGCCATCTTAAGCTACACATAACAGTCCACTATCTATGTCTATGGTCCTAACAGGCTATTCGCTCTTGCTCTTTCTCGCGCTGTCTCACAGCAACCGCCGTCTCTACCAAGAGGTATAGACACTTGAACTGATCCCTATCCTCCCCGTCACGCCGCACCACCTAAATATGCATTTTATATTTTAATTTCCAAATAAACATATACATTCTAAGAAATTGTAATATCCAAAAATTTTTATTAGAAAAATAACAATTTTAGGTGATGCCGGCGTTAAAACATCGAATGGTTTTCTTTAAAAAAAACAAGAATGTTTCTCAAAAGTTTATTACAATAATCAAACTCAATAATAATTCTCTCAAATAAAACTAAAAATCTTTCATTTTCTTATAACTTTAAACGTTATTTACTACTAAGGCTGTCTTTACAACGGTACGACGTCTGATTTACATGCTTTAACACCGACGTCGCCATATCGGTTTATTATGTAAATTGTAATCAACACCCACCCGTAAAGTAAGAACATCTAAAATATTTTCATATTAGAATCGACCAAAAACTTTGCTTGGTTTTTTCGTGACAAATCAGTTGGTATTATATATCTATATTTCTTTTAATTTATCATTCTAAAGTGGAAAACATTATCAGTCAATGTATGAAATAAGTTTTTAACTTTAAGCTTTTATTGCCAGTTTAATGGGTATATTATTTAAGACGACGATAGAATCACGGGTCTTGTTATTGGGCGCTTCCATTGAAAAATAAAAAATGATATAAAGCACATCACTAAGCCCAATTTAAGAGGAGCGTGTGAATCCTTAAAAAAAACTAATATTGCTAAATATTTAGAGATATACAAAATTCCTAAGTTAGCAACACTAGGTGTGACACCACATGTCAGTGGTAGCGACTTCTAATTCAACAGCTACTGGCGGTGGCGGGCTCACCTGACGAGAGGTTAGGTGACTTTGTGGGTGCCATGAGTTGACATCCCCAGTTACTACTTCTTCAGATTCTGTCGCCATTGTCACTACTGAACTGTTAACAAATATTCAAAATTAGATAACATTGATGATGATGATGATGATGATAATGTTCTCCTGACCGATTTCGGCCACGGCGGCCAATCTCATTGAGACTAGCCAACTTCGCAGGAGATATTATAGTGCTCAAGTGTACGGGCAGACACAACGTGCACTCTCTATTCCTATCACTCTCATACTCCGGTGACACGACCACTCGACACGACCAGATAACATTATTTCAGCCATAAAAGGCTGAAATAATGTTATCTGGTCGTGTCGAGGAAAGGTGCCATATTGAGTCATGATATGAACATCATGACTCAATATGGCATGGCTGTAATAAAGCGTAGTGGAGAAACTGCTGGTTTTAACAAGAATGGCTTGACTGGGTATATTTGTAAGGTATAGACAAATAGATAAACCTTTACCCTCTATTATCGATGGTATGCAAATCCTGGTCTTCTGGCCTATAACGAATGACTGACTGCCACACTGAGGGGTCGTATTTAACCTCTTCTTCACTGATTGCACTTGAATAGCCCTCTTCAGTCTCACCGAGAGCGTCCCTCTCTTGATATACTAAAAGACCGTCGCCATAGTCATGGCCAACCCTGTTTTGGTCAGCTATATTCTGTTAGAAAGTTGCAAAAATTAAAAATAAGGTAAAGTGGATAACAAACACATCTTGTATTTGTAGAGCAATTAGTGATTTGTAATTGTAGAACAATAATCTTAGATTTCTTCTTCTGAGTCGTTACACTCTTCACAGAGTGGTCGTGGTCGTCACTTAAGCGCTGTGGCACTCTTCCCTAACAGCTGCTTTCCTTGTACACTCGTGTACAGGAACACTCACTGCAGTCCTCACTTGGCCTGTCGACCTCATGGGATCTCAATGTTAGATTACCAAGTGACTAATAATTTTACTTCAAAGTATACTTTAACTTAATAACTTTTATTTTGGAAAACAAGATTATACTTCATATAAATATGTATGTAACATTATTATATATCAATAAATTTTCATAGCTCGGAGTCTCAGACGATATTTTTTGAAAAGCGAGAAAGAAAATCGATAAACAGACACCATTTTAATATTTTATTCAAATAAATACTAATTACAGTAACAAATAAATTATATTAACACATTTTTAAAATAATACTTAAAATCTTACTTGTACTTCAACGCCTTCCCATCCAGCCACAGTCACATTTCCAGGCATCACCATGCCCGACGTAGATGCAGATCCAAGGCCCACCATAGGTCCGACACCCATAGACCCTACCCCCATGGATGCCACACCCATCGGTCCCAATCCCATGTGACCTGCCCCCATACGCCCCATACCCATTCCCATAGAATGCACTCCCAAACCCGGATGCTTCCGACCTCGACGTGATATAGTATACTTCAATGGATCGTGCCCTTCACGACGTATCATTTCCGGTAAAATTCGTCGGCGAGCGTTGATGAACCAGTTGCAAACCTATAAAAATAATATTATTTCTTTAATAATTATCAAAAGTAAATATACTGATATAACGATTTATATTACATTTTTACCTTGATCAGAGTAGTTTTAATAGGTACTTTCTTAGATTACGATAATATTTGACATTTTAAATAAACTACCTTTTCAGATTTTTGCGCGACTTATTAAAATTTTTGTTTCCGACGTTTGAAATGCTTAACAACAGTCATGGTCACATCACCGCGTGAAAAGATACTTTTATTTAAAATTTTATTCAGAGTACTTTTGTCTTAAGTCCTTACATGCAAAGTAGACCTCATCTATGACATTATGTTAGTTACAACACATTTATACGTTGTTTTACCGCTAACTTTAGGTTTTAATAAGTTTTCTGGCTACGCACAGTGAGCCTCCACATAACCACATAAAGGAAAGTAGTATGCGTGTATTTCCTAGATTGAAAAAGAGTAGTGCAGCTAACGTATCGATAATAATTAATATACTTTATTATAAAGTTTATAAGACAAGAGATACATTCATTATGTCCCACTACATTAAATTATTCCACGAAGTTTCAGAAGAAACAAGTAAGCAGTTTTATGTCGAGTGTTAAAAAGTTGTATTAAAAATATTACGTACCCAGTATATAATAGACGAGTATCTAAGAGTATATATACTTTAAGCCATTTAAAAAATTGGGCGTTTGCATCCTATTAGTTTTACATTATCGATACAAATTGATAAAATCTCATTTCTCATATCTCATAAATTTTCTTAGTATAGTTACTGAAAAATCCTTGCTTTAATGGAGCCGGATAAAGTTTTTATTCAGAGTACTTTCGGCGCTACTACTAAATTGATTTTTCCTACTGAAATCGTCTTTTAAAAGTTAATATTTTTACTTGTTTAAAATATTTCTAACAACTGTAGAAAGAGAGTTCAAATCTTTCAGATTTCATATTTTTACTGAACTAGACGTCGTTGGCGCAACTTACTTAGAGACATTCTAATAAAAGTACCATAGGCGTTAAGACCTCTTGTCTGGGTCTAAAAGACTTAAGCGATTAGTGTATGAGTACACTAAATTTGTTTTATATCATTTCTACATATATCTTAAAAGACTAGAATAAATTAAAACAAAAATATTGTTAAATGAAAGATTCTCTATCACGGCATTAGAAATGGTTATGACAGTAGGAATGAATAAATAATATTTTTAAAACATAATATATAATATACCCCTAGCTAATAAGAAAATCAAACTTAAAATTATGATACGTAATGCAAAAATTTTATGGTCAATATATTTTAACAATTTGTAAAACCGCATTTAATGTTACCTGTAGTACTGTTAAGTTGGCCTCTTGACTTAAAGCCAGTTTCTCAGCGTCACTAGGGTAAGCATTGTATCTGTGGTCGTAGAGCCATCGTTTCAAAATTCTGACAGAGTTTTTTGGTAAGTTTCCTCGTCGTTTGCGTACGGAGCCTACGATTATTGCCTGCGGCGGAGGCAAACGAGGCTGCATGAGCGGACGCATTTCCGGTTCCCAGTCATTCCCACTCTCGTTGTCTTCTGTTGATGATGTTGATGGAAAACGATCCCTTGCTAAACAATAAAAAATAAATAAAACTTATTATTTATAACATTTGGTTTAAAGGAAAAATGTATTATATTAAAATTATAAAATAAAACAATTAAAATATTTATGCATTAATATGTAAATTTTGAAATATTTAACGTATTCATAAAATGTCTTGTTAAATAAAATATCTCGCCGCCAATTTGTAACAAAAAATTCAATAGAAATTCAATATTATGCTCGATGGCGGTAACTTTAAACTAGTTTTGACTACTAACGTAACTTGATCTTCATGACTTTTATGACTGATTTACGCAGCGTGGCTATTTCTTTCTTTACACCAACAACTCTGAAATTCAAGGGTGGTGTTGTATGGCGATTGGTGGCCTCAAACGTACTGACCACTTTTTTGTTTTGAAAAACCGATGCTTTTTTGTGACAATTGACAACGACGTATGTCACTTGTCACGGTGAAGCAAAATTTTTGATTATTTGAAAATTGGAAAAAAAGAATTCGATGCGGCCAGTATTCGAAAATATCAGAAAGTTAAAGCAAAATAGGTTATATGTCGAGCTGTGCAAAATATGTACACCAATGCCGGTAGAACAAAAATAAATTTTGAAGATTGTTAATCGTTTGAAATACTTTATTATCTGATATAACTAATATTATTCTAACACCCTCAGGGCTTATTATCACAATTTCTTAATATTTTAATCGTATAATTATGTTTTAGTTTCACACCCTAATCGCTTCCGTAACCACTGTTTAAACGAGTAGGTACAATTTTATAATCTATACATATAATAAAATTGTAACTAAGCCAAACCTGTACATTATTTTTTTAGAATATCTTATTAAAAATAAACATTATTATCGATACAGAGGTCGAATCTACAGTTTTTAGAATTTTTGTCTGTCTGTCTGTTACCACATACAGAAAAAACACTGGAAGGATTTTGATCAAATGGGTCAACATAATATAGGATACTTTTTACTACAGGAAAACATCTCATCTCTGAGAAAACTATACTAAACATTAAAACGCAAATAGGACCGAGTACGAGCGGAGCGAGGGTGAGTCGGTAATATACCTACTATAAAAATAAATAAAATGAAACTTAAAAAACATAATATTTATTATAACAAATTTTAAAACAAATCATAATATTATGTATAAAGCTACACTCAGTTAATTGCGTCTATTACTTCAGGTGGTAGTATGGACCTATTTAGTAGGGGAGTGTTGGGAACGACCGCGGGAGCTGATGCGGCATTTGGTGGGCTTTCTTCTAACTTCTGGCTTTTTTCAATGGTATCCGATAAAATCTCCTTTAAAGTATTAGCTAATGTCTTGGGATTCCCGCTACTATCCAGCTGTGGAGAAGGTGGTGTTTATAAGAACGTTACCTGAATAAGAAAAAATGGCTTTTTTTTTAATATTAAATGTTAACTTTTTTAAATATTAAATTTTTAAAACTGATGATGATGATGTTCTCCTAGCCGATTCCGGTTACGGCGGCCACTCTCATTGAGACTAGCCAACTGCGCAGGAGATATTATAGTGCACAAGTGTACGCGCAGACACAACGTGCACTCTCTATTCCTATCACTCTCATACTCCGGTGGGACGACCACTCGCCACGAGCGGTAAGAGTGTCGGCGCAGGACCGACGGCTTTACGTACTCTCCGAGGCACGGGGGTGAAACACCGCCAACTTCCCAACTCCGGGCTGTTACTGAGGCTTACTATACAGAAAGACCCAATAACTAAACTTGGCCCGACCCGGGACTCGAACCCAAGACCTCTGGGTGTGCCGTACATGCTAGCCACTACACCACTGAGACAGTTTTTAAAACTATAAATTTATTATATTATTAAAATGTTACTTATCAAAAAAATGTTTATGCCTATTGCAATCGTGTTATTAAAACAGGTTTATACTGAAAAATTGAAAAAAAATCTTGTCCCTAGTAGGAGGTAAAATTATGACTAGTAACTTAAGTTTGTTTTATTATTTGAAGCAAATACCTCATAGTGTATAATAATAGCTAATAATAAATTATTTAATAAGATGTTTCTGTAATACCGTTACAACATGCCCGCCAAATCTCTTGTGTACATTTTTAACTTTATGTGCAGCCTCTTTGACTATCTGCCTCGCTGCGTTTATCTCAGACTCAGGTCGACCCAATTCTGATAATTTGCTTTGCAATCGCGTTGCCGCCACCTGAATATTGATATTATATATATATATATATATATATATATATATATATATATATATATATATATATATATATATATATATATATATATATATATAGGTTGATTCCTCATACAAATGTTCATCCCCATTTTCAATCCCTTAAGAGATGATTTCCGGAATAAAAGCTATCCTAAGTCCTTGCCTAGATCTCAAACTATCTTCTTACCCAATTTATTCAAAATCGGTTCAGCAGTTTCGGAGCCTATTCGGTACAAACAAACAAACAAATCTTTCCTCTTTATAATGTTAGTAATTAGTATAGATGAAAAAATACATTTTTCAACTGTTGTTATTTTATCCAAATAAATTGTTAGAATGTATTTCGAGATTTCAGAAATTTTAACTGTAGCGAAAGTCCGTAAATATTTAATTATTTTTTTATTTACGTACCATATAGCTACTACTACTTTTTTCTATTTATTCTTTATGAGTTTTATTAATACGACATGGTTTAATCAGGTAACCAATGTCAACAACATTTGAAAAACGAAAGAAAAAAAATGAAAGAAAAAACTCTACAATAAAAAATAATATACCTAATAACGGAATCATTTTCTATAACTTTAATATATTACCTCATTATCAACTTCTAAAGCAACAACCTTTTCCGGCCATTTCACTTGTCGATTAAATATATTTGACATGCGATGATTTTTTGGGAAACCCACCAAAATGAAACCTATAGAGTCTCGATTCATGAGCATCGTTTCTTTGATAATATCCACGGTTAATTGCTGTTAAAAGATTATATTAAATTACATTATGTATACTGATGTACACAAAATTATAAGGTAGCAAAAAGTTGGATAGATGCTTACATTTTCTATCGCGAAAAATTGAAAATCTCGAGTCTCGACGTTAAGAAATTTCATGAAACAATTTTACGTGGGCTTAATTAGATTTAAATTAGTATAATAAAATATCAATTTTATCATATATTTAGATAAATGGAGAACATTATTTTCACTGTTAGTAGAGTACTGGTATTGTGCAATATGATGGAGGCCTTGGATTTGATTCCAGCACTGACAGTGAATAAGTTTTTTATGAAATTGTTATATGCTTAACACGTCAAGTGTTTATGCCGGTTTGGCGTTTTTGGGATGGTGCGACGATTATCTAAGATAAACTGTTGTTTAATGTTTATAGCTCATATACGCTCATATCACCTCCAAAAACAAATTACCTTGATAATGACCAAAAGCAACAAAATAAATAATACCTGTAGATTAAAACTTTTGTTTTAAATAAACTCTAAAACTTTACCCACCTCTGGTATATCTTCCTGAGCTTTCAATTTGTCTGCTATTAGGCGTCCTCTGGCTGTGTCCCTCTCAGCTTCAGTCCTCACCAGCTCCCCCGGCCTGATCATGGTGTAACCAGTTATGTTGGAAATAGTTTCTGCTACCGTCTGGTTCCCCGCACCCGGGACCCCATTCACGAAGATGACTGGTAAATGCCTGATCGGTGTCATGTCATATATCGTACCTTCTTGCTGGTGTAGAAATAGAGCATTTGATTATATTAGCCTCAATCTATACTAATATTATAAATGTGAAAGTTTGTAAGTATGGATTTATGTTATTCTTTCACGCCAGAACGGCTGAACGGATTTGGATGAAATTTGGCACAGAGATAGATTATAGTCTGGAATAACACATATATTTTTTATACAAAAATGTACGGTTCCCGTGGGATAGGTTTGTTTTTGTTTTCCTAGAGCTCGCTCGTAAATATTATAAAACAATATCACTATTCACACCTCTCAGTTTCTGCGCTTAATTATTCTAAACTATGCAACGAACTAACATACGTTTTTAAAATTGACAAAGAATATCTTGCGGATATTACGAATAGGCACATTATCATCCAAAATCAATAAAACAGATAAAAAAATAAACAAAAGTGAATGCTGAATCAACTTGTCAGACCTGAGCGAAGTAAAGCTTGTTATAACAAAATTTACAAGTATGTTTACTTTTCTCAATATAGTTTTAATTAAATGCTTATATGTACCTACATAATGTAACACAAAACCTATTGCACAATTGCGGCGCGAAAAAATTATATTATTATCGACAGATGTTTTAGATCTTACCCACAAATGCCCATGTAGAGAGAGATTTTCAGTTGCATTTGGCACATTTCAGTGGCATGGATATTTAATAATTCATTTATTCAAAAAATTTTTGAGACAGCCTAGTTTTCGATATTAATATTCCGATTCCAATAAATTATTTTACTACATATTTTCATCAAAATCATTAAGATAAGTATATAATTATGGATTCAAAAAAGATCAACCGAGAAAGTTAAGACGAGTGCTAGTCCTACCATATCAGAGCTGAATCTGTCATTCAGCTTAATTATTTAGTACTGCAGTTACTAACGATTTCTTAGTTTAAAAAATATATGAGAAAAACTTTTTACTAGTACTTAGTAGAGTTTCTGATTATTTTATAAGAAAGAAAATATCAATTATAATCGATAAATGTTAAACACAATGCAGTTATAAATATATTGGGGTTTAAAAATTAAAGTACTACGTATCGTTCGTCCTAGAACCTAGGCGAAATAACAAAAAAAACATTCACTAAGATCGCTGATTTTTTTAATCCATCATCGCCACCACATTATCGTACGTAGAAGTTAAAAAAATATCTGTGCCTCACTTTACTATGATTATTTTCTAAAATATGAATATTCTTACTTACCTCGGTCATTATACGTCTAGAATAAAAACAACCCATTCTATTTATAAATAAATTATTCACTAACGATTGTAAATATTAATTATTAATAATTAAATTCGTGAAATAAAATGACATTTCCAAATTGACAAAATTTGAAAAGGAACCGTCTAGATTTTTGACGGGTTTCGAAATGGCAATGGCATCTTTGATACATACTAACCAGTCTTCTTAATAAAAAAATATATAAAAAAAAAACAATTTGCAAGTTTTTAATTGTTATTTATTACTCGCTTAAATAGGCAAGAATCTATAAAAAAACTTAGTTATGTAACCGAAAAGATAATATGTAATTAAACAAAATATTTGTGTAAAAAAATTTTTTTTATACAATAGCTTACACCTTTATATAATTGTAAAAAAAAATATCTAGTTCCAAAAAACTTAAATTTAGTATTTTTTTATATATCATACTGGTATGGATACTTTAAACGCTTGCCATTTTGTGCCCTTGGCGTGAAGTCATAGTATGATATACACAGAGAAATGACGACTCAATTTGTAAGGAACAATATCGCTAATCGCTGTTGTGATTGTGATTTTGACGATCAATGGTTCAATCTGACCAATGGTTGCGTTTCAACTACTTTGAATTTCCCACCTGTTTTTGCACTTCTTAATAATTATTTTCTGAATCAAAAAGAAAGCTGTGTGTTAATGTTCCAACATATTCATTTATTACATTTATTTAATATTTTATATAAATCACATACTTATTCCCTATTATTAACTAACTTACAAGGTGATGCTCAGTAGCTTCCGACTTTCCTGCTGGGCGTAAAACTAATAGAATCACTTGGGAGGCAGGGCCATAAATAGTGTGTAAGTTAATAATAATAATATCTTTATTGATGTTAACGTCCCACTGCTGGGCACGGGCCTCCCTTCAATACGAGGGAGATCGGGTCATAGTCCACCACGCTGGCTAAGTGCGTGTTGGCAGACTTCATATGCCTTTTGAAAACTGTTGGAAATAATTCGCACATGATCATATCAGAGGTGCGAGACCCGAGATTTGAACCCGCATCACTAGGTTTCCCAAGCGAGCGCGTTACCACTGGGCTACCACTGCCTTATAAGAAATATTTCTTAAAAACTATTAACTAACTTAAGTTATCCTACGTCACCCCATACACTGTATGCGATGTGTCTCTACATAACCACAGTACAGTACAGATATAAAAAAAGGTTGAATTACATCATAGTACCAATTTTAGCTTTATTATCATTAGGTACGTACTTTACAAATGATGTATACAAAAACTACAACGTCCTGCTGACAGCGAAATTGATCTCATTTCAATATTCATTCACCACAATATAAAACAGAGGATATGACCATCAGTCTGACAAGGGAAACCGACAGTTCGAGAGTAGTCACGTAGTATTTCCTCCATTTCTACATTTTATTATCTTAAACCAAGTTAAGAGCAGTGCTTTAAATCAAAATAAATAAACGATTCAACAAATTAATTTTAGTGTGACTTAAAATTGATTTTTGCTAACAACAAAAAATATTGCTTGTTTAATGACCACGATGAATCAAGTCATCCTTTTGATACTTCTTGGTGTAGAAGCACTGGCTAATATGAAGTGTTCCACTAGAACCTCGAACACTGTTCCGAAATACCATTTAATAGAAAAATGTCACCAATCGAAGCTAGGCATAGCTGCAAGAGCAAATTTTTCTTCTTTAACTAGCTGTAAAAGGCTTGGCATAGAAAAGAGGGCTCTAGCCTTGAACTTTAGCCCACATAATACCAACAGAAGTAAGCCCTTACATTATTCTTGCGAGGCTCTCAAATGTGCTGAATCCGAGGGAGGACTATCATTAACTAATGACACGAGATACAATTACTACAGTATATATGCTAATCCATTACGTAAGTTTTGTTGAAAGTGTTTAATCAATAAGAATATTTTTTTAATTTAAACGGTTATAAGCATTAATTAATATATTGAGGGGAAAAAAAGGTAACATGCTACAGCGAGAGTTTTAATTTAGAACAGTTTCTAGGCTTATAAAATAAGATACCTATATCAATAATAAATAATAATACGCTATTTTAGCAAATATAAATTCTACGTGCGTCCCAACAACTGGCATGTTCGTAATCTTGCCGAAAAAATTTAATTACACAGAATCTCGAAAACACTGTAAGAATATTAGTGCAGTGCTTGCTGATATCACTGACGAGCACCGAACAGATGCGCTGGCGCAAGCTTTAGCGACGGCGAGTGCAGAAGCAGCATATGTTGGAATGACGAGGAACAGCAATAGATTTTTTTTATCTGAAAATGGTATGAAAAACTATATAAACAAAATATACATAGATGTAAACTGTACATTATAATATTATAAATACAAATTTTGTTACACAATTTAACTATAATATTCACCAAAGTTAGTCGATAGCCCTATAAACTATTTCACATATATATAGTACACCAGCGACTTATCCTCGCTTCGCTCGGGTTCGTCTTTAGGTTGCTCCCTATACAAACTTTCATCCCTATTTTCACCCTCTTAAGGGATGATCTCCGAGATAAAAACTATCCTATGTACTTCCAAGGGTCTCAAACTATCTTCTTACCAAATTTCATCTAAATCGGTTTAGTAGTTTCGGAGCTAATTCGGTACGAACAAACAAACAAAAAAACAAATCTTTCCTCTTTATAATATTAGTATAGATGTGAAATAGAATATAGATTCCTTACTTATAGAATTCGAACCTAATATCTGTGACTTATTAAATAATATGTGCCATACTGCGCCACGGCAATCATCAACTTTTGATTTTTAGGTGGCTCTTTGGATTGTATAACATACCGTGCCTGGGCCCCGGGACATCCACAACGAAACAACAATATGTCTTGCGTAATTCTCACAAAACACCATACATGGAAAACTGTGTCTTGCAAAGACAAATATCAAGTCCTTTGCGAATTGATACCTAGAGGACCTTATAAAAAAGGATCAATATTTTCTTTCAAAAATCTGAATATTTAATATTTTTATTTTCGTACAATGTTAATTTTTTCTCTATCAATCAATAATTGGCATAAGTTCCAAATGATAATCCCCACGATCTCTTTACCAGTGCGTAGCAAGAATAAATAGTTATTCAATAAAATATAAAAAAAATATTTAATCATAAATGTTTGTATATGTAGGTACTTATTATTTTTAATTTAGTTTTATTTACTAAGTCTAAAAATTTATTTTATTTCAGCATATTTGTGTTTAAGAAAATTAATAGTTTTATATACATACTTAATATTAGTAATAATACTAGTAATATTACATATTATTTTATCATTACGCTATGTATATAGAAATAAGATGATAAAAACATTTTGAACATTATTTTACAATATTTCTTGTAAAATTTTTAGAAAAGACTCCTTGTAAGGCCATTCTTTTCATGTATTATTTTTTTTATAAATGAAAATGAAGCTCCCAAAAATGTAACGTACCTACATAAAAATCTTAAAATATCTTTTTTTAGATTTACGCGAATATTAGACATTCTAAAATAAAACATTTTTTTATAATTTTAATAAGTTTTACTTTTCAAAGGTTCCATTAACCGCTGGGTGCGTGACCCCAGCGCCACCTATTGATACAACATACGGTGGCTCTTTTGAGATATTTTATATGTATTAGATGCCAATTAATTATATAAAAAATTGAATACACTTAAAAAATATATTTTTACTATGTAAAATGTGTCATTTTACACAAAGTGTACATTAAATTTAAAAAAATATCCCTGGGTCAGCTGACAAAAGTAAGTATAATAAACACAATAAATAAAACAAGTCTCATGTGAATTAGAATAAGCAGTGTTAAAATCTGTCAAGACGTTTATTATTATATTAATATTGGATGAAAAATCAGTATTGATATTAAATATATAACCATGAAATACAAAATAACTGTACTTAACATAATTATATATTTACGAACGTATTTAAAAAAAATATTTTCTTTATTTGATTTTGTAGGTAAAGAATGGAATTCGTGTTAAGAACCGGCTTTCTATTTATTACCCATAACATTATTTTTCAACCACAAAGTTTAATAAAGGGTAAAAATTAAGTAATAAAGAGTAAAGACCGCCTCCCATGAAGGATGTTGACAAGGTTCAAGGAGTCTAATCTCCATAAGGTTTTATAATATGAGAAATCTATTTGCAAAAGTTTTTAGAGCTATAGTTTCAGAAAAGAAACTGCCACGAATCATTGATTTACGTAGTTGAGCTGTTTACGTAGTTACGTCAGTAGCACGAAGTTAGTGATAAATAAGTCAGTATGAATTTAATTGAAAAATGAATTCACGCTATAAATAATTATGTATCTATGAAAGATAGATCTTCGATCAACAATAGTATTGTTGATCGAAGATCTATCTTTCTTTAATACTTAGTTATTTAGAACAGCTTGCTTACATACAATAAGTACCTAAATAGGATTTTTTTACATTCCATACATTAGAATTTCTCTTGTAACATAGCGACTGCAGCGCCCTCTGCGCACCCACTATTATTTTTTTCAAATTTTTGACACAACTTTTACATACAGAAGTTGGACTCCTTGTCTCTATATTCTTCATGGCATTCATAAAGCATTTGAAACGTCGGAAAAAAATCAAATTATCCACGAAAAAAACCAAAAAGATAGTCCCTTTACAATCTTGATCTATTGTACTTGATTTATATAATAGTATTCCTTTTATGTACTTTTATGCCACGCGTCCTATCTTCTAACAATGTACCATAGACAAATAATAGAAGATTGTACAGATTATGCATAGGCAATAAAGACACTTGACATAAGACATTGACAAAATACAAATGACATTCTGGGCGGATGCTTTTCTTTATTTGTTTACAATTCATAAAATCTCTATTTGAAAATATTTTCAATTATTTATAGGTACTTCAATATGGGCCAGGGTAAAAGTCAATTTACGGAAGAAGAACTTCAAGATTATGAGGTACGATTAAGTAAATATTTATATTTTTTGCAAGAGAAGATTAATTAGTGACTAATTATTTTTGTACTTGTTTCAGGATCTCACGTATTTCACAAAAAAAGAAGTGCTGTAGTAAGTTCTTATAAATTAATTTAACCACATTTCATTCAATACTCTCGTAATAATTTCGTACGTAGTAGACGATTACTGATTCATAAACTGAAATGATTTTTTCTCTTTTCAGTGCTCACCAAAAATTCAAAGCCCTGGCCCCAGAAAAGGTAGGGCATAATAAGAATGCCAAATTGCCAATGGCTAAAGTTTTACAATACCCTGAACTAAGAGTAAATCCTTTTAGAGATAGAATTTGCAAGGTTTTCAGCTCTTGTAATGATGGTGATTGTACTTTCGAAGATTTTCTGGACATGATGTCTGTATTCAGTGAAAATGCACCCAAGGCTGTTAAAGCTGAACATGCTTTTAGAATATTTGGTATGTAGTTATAAAAACAAAATACCATAATATGTTTTCTTTTTTGCTGCTTTTGCAGTATCGACTATACAAATATAATTATAATTAACTTAATTTTAGTTAGCTTTTATACTTTTTGAGTTTAACCATTTGTTCTTTAGATTTTGATGGGGATGACATGATAGGTGTATCTGATCTAAGGGAAGTCATTGAGCGTTTATGTGGACCAGAATTAAAGTTAAGTGATTCTGAAATCCAGCAACTTGTCCAGAATGTTTTAGAAGAAGCCGATCTTGATGATGACGGAGCTCTTTCCTTTGCAGAATTTGAACATATCATTGATAAAAGCTCAGATTTTTGCCAGTAAGTAATAAGTTAAAATTGAGTAGTATAGTAAAAGAAAATTAAAATACTCATCAATAAACAAGACTGATTTTTTTTAATATGACCCCTAAACTTTTATACTATTCTTATATTTTAGTTGGTTACTCTTATAGGTATAAAAGTAATTGTATGGATATCAAAGAAAGATGTAAAAAAATAATTTTAAGTTAAAAATTTAAGTATATGTAATGATTTACAATAGAATACAAAAAAATAATAGTATAATTCCTGAATTAACTTTTAAGGATTTATTTTACTGTGTAATTTTATATTTAACTGTTTTTAAGACATTAGACACCATTTTTTAAATAATGATACAAGATTTTGAAAAATCATTAGTAATCACCTATTATTATTCAATAGCACAACATTATTTACTTTAAAATCTTTTAGATAGTTTGATAATAGTCATTCTTATTGTTTAAAATATTTTGTCAGTCATTTTGTACAATATAATTATATCTTTCTACTTTTTCAGCTCATTCAGAATAAGGCTGTGAATGTTTCACTAATGAAAATCTTATATGAAACTCAATTTTGATAATCTTCACAATCTCAATTTTGATATTAATGTATTTAATTAAGTAAACGTTTAGAACAAATATCACTTTTATAGAAATATCGAATATTAATTTGTCTTCCTTAGTTAAATTATTTTATGTAGTAAAATTTATAAATGTTTATGACTTCTGAATATTTATGTTGTGATGTATGATTGATAATAAATTGTACTTGATTAAAACTGCCAAATATTTAATAAGATTTTTTTTATTTATAAGATTTCATGTGATAAATAAATTAATAAAACATAAAATTTATTTTAATTCATGCAATAAAAAACCATACCAATTTTAGCTTATATTATAATATAAATTGGATCCTTTCAAGGGTTTTAAGAATTACTAGATAATATTTCACTTATCTATACTAATATTATAAAGAGGCAGTTTGTTTGAATGCACTAATTTCAAGAACTATTAAACCGATTGGAAAAATTCTTTTTGCATTAGATAGCATGTTTACTGAGGAAGGCTCTATATCTTTAATCATCATGCTACTACCCAAGGGAGCAGAGCAGCAATATTATATAGTATATTCCATACTAACCATTAACACATATGCATGGATGAACCTGAGCGAAGCGAGGATGAGCCGCTAGATTTTTATATGAATAATGTTTGAGGTAAAATGAAAACATAGTAAGTGTAAAAATATAATTCAAACTTATACATAATTTGCATTATATATATCAAAACTTAATTTTGTAAATATCCTGGCAACTTCATTCTCATGAAAATCCAAGTTGTGAAAAAAGAGACAAGGATGCATAAAAAGGCTACAGATATCAGTAAAATTCTATTTAGCTTTGGTGTAGTAGGGTTATGAGTTCTATCAAGTATGATAAAACCAAGTCCTCCAAGGGAGAAGAGGAAACTTGAGGCCAGACCTTCCATGATATACTGGCCATTTACTCTGTTTGGCATAAACGCAACCGGCCTGCTGTGACCGTGTTCATCAGTCGTGGAGCCAACGCTTGGCGGCTCAACGATCACATCATATATAATTCCTAGAACAAAACACAACATAACTTATAAGATTCTATTTAGATTATACAACAATATATTTATTGGAACTGACTAACCTCCCGTCACCAAGAAGTATGAGAATAATACCAAAGAAAACGTAGTCATTGCAGATGGAGGCTGCAACCATGATGGCTTTTTGATTTTAATGTTTGGTACTTCAAGGACGGTGAACGGAATTGCATACAATGCTTCCATTATTATAAAAAAACTAAGCAAACTTTTGAACGATAACTGGGACTGTTGATGTGGATGCCGCAAAGTCAAACGCATAGAGTATATTGCTACATATATAAAGTCAAACGTTAAGAAATTATAAAGCGCCCTCTATCTTACTCTATGTACCATCTGTGAAGTCTGAGTACTATTTAGCATTGTCAATCAAATTATGTATTAAATTAAAAAAAATTAAACCGCATTTGTAAATATTTAATTTTTCTACTTACTTACAATGTATTTACCTTATTGTTTTTATAACAAATAATAATATGATACGTAGCATTTAATATAAAACTAATTCGTATATATAGTATCTGCTTGTAAAGAAACGTTTTATACGGTTTGAAAAATAACCAATGAAAAAAAAGCCTTTGTGTTAAATGTTTTATTACGATTGGCGTACATTATATAATCAATTGTATTAGTTAATTTTATCCAATGAAGAAGCCCCAGACATCGATCATTCAACCGTAAAGTACTTGGAATTTGGTAACTGTCAAATTAAATGAAAATGTTCGTGGACTACATTCATGTCTCCAATTTTTAATATCCCGGGATTACAGCTGTTATTTTTTTTGTAACAAAATATTAACAATTATGAGTTGCATGTGTTAGTGAATTGCGTGGTTTAAGTTATTAGTGAAATTTTAATATTCATTCGAAAGCGCTGTGAAAATGTTTTAATTTTACGCACAAAATGAACTATACTGTGGATATTTCACTCATATTACGATGAAGGGTGGGCTATGTGTAATTTACACGTCTTTGCTGACTATTTCAGTGCTTTCAAGGTACAGTAACAAATGCTTTTATATATAAAATAAACAAACTTGATGAATGTATTTTTTATTTTTTTATTCACAATAGTTTTATTATTATTTCCAGTTGTGCTTTCTTCATATTGGTGGTATCTGAAGCTCTTCAAGCTGAAGGTGTTAACAATGTCGATCTCTCAGGACTGCACAATGTTTCTCAAAAATCTTCAGATATTGAAAAAGAACCACCAATGGATTCTGATATCGAGGATAGCCAAGAACCACCCACGGAGACGAAGACTGAAGAAATCGATCACCAGATGACATTCCCTGAAGCTTTATCTGTGAACTCAGTAACTACAGATGGGTGAGTAGTAATTTATATTTTAGTTAGACAGTGAAAGTGGTTTGTTCTAGTATAGACAATATGCATATCTTATTATTAATTATTTATACATGTAGCAATAGCAAACATGCATGTCCATTGTAATGGACAATTGTTCTATTATAACATTTGGAAGGTGATTTATTTTTATTCAGCCCATGTTACTTTAAAATTTTCTAATTGGTATATTTTAAGAAAGCTGACTTATCATTGGAATCTAAAAAAAATATACATACATTATGATACTACCTTTAACTACAAAGAAAAAATATTATAAACATCGATCATCATTGAAATGTTGGGAGTAGGTCATGTAGTATAACTTTAAAATTATTATAGAATAAAGAATATTATATAAATTATATTTATTCCACTTAGTGATGCTCTTATTTATAATATATGTATAAATAGATATAGTCTATCTAAAATTTTACAAAACATTGACAATTTAAAAACAATTTTTCTATACCTCAGAAGTGTAACATTGTGATGTTAAAAGTACTACCAAGTTCCATGCAAGAACATGTTTTAAAAATGTTATTATTATTAGAACAACTTACCAAAGTTAGGTAATTAAATAAAGGCTTTAACTAAAGGTATAACAGTATATAAATAATAAAGTTATAAAATTCAATTAGTTTCATCACAGCATTTCAGTTTCTACCAGATTTATATATGGAAAGTACATAAAAACAATAACAATATAAAATGTTATTATATACACATCTCTAATATAAAATAATTAATTATAATTGTAATGAAAATTGGAAACCACTTGATTTACTAGATTGAAAATTACCTATAGAAATGCTACACTCCATTCTAAAACTTCTCCATGAAAATAATCATATTAATAGTTGCGGTGTAAGGAAGGTAAAACCAATAAATAAACTCACTTTTATAATATTAGTATCTAATAGGTAATTTTATTTTTAAAAAGATTAGGGGACAATTTTTTTTTCTGTCACAAAATATCCCACTCGCTTCTAAATAAAACACAAATCCTAGTAACCATTTTGTTACGTGTGTTATCGTAATTTATCGCTGAAACTGTGTCAATGACGGATATCCCGTTATTCACGCCATGGCGCCATCACGTCATGCCATTGACGTATTAAAATCTACCATGTTCAAGATGTTGTAATATGTTGACTTTGTTATAGAAATTTGATTTTTTTAATTTGGTAGTGTTTTATTGGCGCCAAGGTCATTTAATTTCCGATACAATTCTTTGATGTTAATGTATTAGATTATTGCAGTGCGTTTGCAGTCTGACGCTCACACCGAGGGTTCAGTAGTGTGTAGCATTAAAATACGTTTTTTTGTGATATAACTTCAAATTTACGGTTTTTGGTATATTTTAAGACCCTGCTTCTTGCCAAATTTTACGATTCGAGGTAGGTTTTGATGCCTTTCCGAGTTCCCTAGCGAGCGTCAAAATATGTGCCACAAACGGCCGTATCTTTTGATTGCGTTGAGTTATAATTTTGATTTTTCAAAGATCCTAGGGATTGCAGATCCGAGTGTTTGATATTAATTTCAACTTGATATCTCCACGGGTTTCCGAGAAAAAGAGTCTTGACAGACAGACATTCCTTTTTTCCTGTTGAAAAAACCCTTAAAATATTTAAATTGCAAATACATGTAATGCAGTCTGCTTTAAGGTAATAAAGTTTATTTAAATGATAGATTCATCTGTTTTCGAGATACATGATAAAGAAAGTATTAAGAACTGAGTACATATATAAAATTTTGTTGCTATATAATCTTTTATGAAAAAATCTTTAATTTACGAGTTAGGACAATACATTATGAGTTCAATATTTGCTACAGGCAAATTCATTTGACTAAAAAGTTAGCAGGTTTTTATAATATAAAAAAAAACCATATATTCTTAAAAATAAAAATATAACATATTGAATAACGAAATCTTTATATGTAAAAATTATATTATCTTAGTAAAATTACAGCTACACTTTAAGAAAAGTATGTCGTCTTTTCTATAAATGAATGAATATAACCTATCAGATATCGGACCGCCATTTTCTAAGAAACCCTTTAGCAAAAACTACATTATATCTACGTCACAAGTGAATTAAATTGCTTGTCAGTGTTTCAATAATTACGATTGTTTCATCAGACTTAATTTAAAACTTAATTAGTAACAGTTAAACAAACGAGAATGACATGCAAAAATACAAAAGCATTTTGGATTATATTTACTTAACGTGTAAGTAAAAGTGGTATTGAATTTGTTTTAAACTTTAACATATTGTAAATTTGAGTTGTCATATGTATGCTCTAATATTTAGTAATGACGTACTTAGTAATAAAATGTCCATTTAAGAAATAATGATTCCGATCAACCTTGTCGAGGTCGCGCGCGTGTCGTGTGATAGAAGATAGCATTGATTTTATCTGATACATAACTACGCGTATCATTCACTATTTACGTCTCAATGTAATCATATCTTAATGTTTCAAGTAATATAACTTTTGCAAATTTCGCGTTCCATAATTATATAATAATGACACTACGAGACTGATGCCAGATTTCACCAACAACCCATAAGCTACCACCAAGGTAGGGGTCCCTAGCTTAAAAGTCCCCTAAACTAGCCCCTAAATTAAATTTCGTTTTACGATCGTCTTTAAACCCATATTTCAAGCACTTAAATTGAGGGGGCCTTTTAATTTTTAGGTGACCCCTAACTGTCGGTGAAACAAAAACTGTCCCCTAACAGCCCCCTAACCATGCTTAGGGGGTCCCTTAAACTTGGGTGACGTTGGTGAAATCGGGCATTAAACGCGTGAATTCGTACGTGGCTAAATACCTTCCCGACGTTTGGACTGGTTTGCACCAGCCTTGTCTGGAGAGGAAGAGTGGTAAAAGCTATTATTACGTAATATTTTATAAGTCGAAATAGTAGTAAGTAGGGGCTCAAAAATGGCCAAAATTGTCCTTACGTAATAAATGAATGACCCCCAAAGTATGTTTCAAATAAATTTACGAGACACAAAATTTTCATTTAAATAGCTTTGTTAATTTTTTACAAGCTAAAAGTAGTTTCCTTTGCGATGCAGACAGAGAATATAGTGACATATCACGTTTTCCGCTTTCCCCTATGTCGTGACAATGCGTTTTCGGTGGCGGTTTCCAATGCCGCGCTTTGTTTAACCAGACTGGGGAGAAACATGGGTTTATTGGCTATATGAAAAACTGATTGTCCCAGGAATTGAATCTATGACTTAAGACGCAAAATAAAGTCAGTCAAACAATGTTTGAATGACTTATCATGAATTATAACACTAATGTATTTAATCAAATGAATTACAAAACATATTTTTGCTGGCATTTTAAATTTTATTATATCTCTTAATTTTAGTTTTTGTGTTACTCTGATTTATAAGATATATTAGGTACTGTAAAGTTTCATCAAAATCCATTTAGTAGTTTTTGCATGAAAAAGTAACAAACATCTATCCATTCAAACTAGCATTGCCCGCGGCTCCGCCCGCGTTCAGATGACCAAAAAGCAAATTCTTAGGTTTTACATAGTAATATACTCTTACAATGCATTTTTCTCAAAAATGAAATATTTTCCCGCGGTAAAAAGTATTCTATATGTTGACCTGGATAACCAGCTACAATCATACAAAATTTCATCAAAATCCGTCCAGTGGTTTTTCTGTGATGCAGTAACTGACAGACAGACAGACAAAAATTCTAAAAACTCTAGATTCGGCATCTATATCGCTAATAATGTCTATTACAATAAGATTTTCTAAAAAATATTAAATGTACAGATTTAGCTAAGTTACAATTTTACTATATGTATAGATTAGAACAGCATGAATTAGAAAACATATTTTTGCTGGCATTTTAACTTTTATTATATCTCTTAATTTTAGTTTTTGTGTTACTCTGATTTATAAGATATATTAGGTACTGTAAAGTTTCATCAAAATTCGTTTAGTAATTTTTGCATGAAAAAGTAACAAACATCTATCCATTCAGCCATCTTCTTATTACGATATTTTCTTCAAGTATTATATGGTTTAAATTGAAAATGTTTTGAAAACTCAATTTTTAAAAGGATGATTGATCGTTATGATTTTATTTTATTATTTCTAAAACAACTGCATGGTTTCTTAGGTAGTTCTAGTAGAGTCATTTTAATGTTGATAGGATTTAGGAAGTGTTCGCAAAAATACGTTATAATTCAATTATTTGCAAAGGATATCGCGTGACGGTAACACGATGATTTGTTTTAATTATCTAATTCGACTCCGCCAGCGTATGAGTTTTTAGCCCACGTGTTTAACCCATAACCACATAACATGACCCCATGTATATAAGGAATTACGTCGAACGCAAAGCTCTTGCTATATGTGTGTATTTACTTGATCTCATTTTTATTTTTTAATTTGTTCTATTATCTGTAAAGAAAAAATCCATTGAAATTTCTTGCAGCCGTTCCGAATGGCGCGATCGAAAGCAAACTTATTTAAGCAAAGAACAGTTGCTGATTCTATGACAACAAAAAAAAAATAAGATAGTGGATAATTAGTAAAAACGAATGAGATAGCGCTAACGTTAACGATAGCGCTAAAAAATATTGATAAAAATACTTTTGCAAGAAAAGTCCTAGAATTATATTTAAACTAGCGACTCACCCTCGTTTCGCTCGGGTTCATCCCTGTTATATATAGTTTTACAACAATGTGTGGAAGTTTGTTCGATTTGTTGTCATTTATGATTACTACTCCACTCCCTTGGGTAGTAGCATGATGAAATACAGCCTCAATAAACGGGCCATCTAATGCAAAAATAAACTTTTCAAATCGGGTTAGTCGTTTTTGAGATTAACGCATTCAAACAGACAAACAAACTCTGCCTATTTATAATATTAGTATAGATAAAAATTAAACACATTTACCAAAAAAAATACGTATGAATAAGTACATTAAAACATACGATGT